CGGGGTATGTCTGTGATTTTGGTGACAGTCGCAGACACTGCTGACACCCTTGTGGTTTGTAGCCTATCATAACAATTGAAAGGAGTACTAAATTTCAGTTAGACGGAGCTTCCTATAAACAATAACGTATTTTCTCTCCTACCAGTTCGTGGACCCCTGGTATATACCGTCAGTTCTTTGAGAATGGCTGAGCGCTACAGGAGTGAGGCAGCGTTGAAATGAAGGTGGTCAGGTGCTGGTCTGGGACACCCACTTTGTTACAAATGAGGGCATTTGAGGCAGAAGCCCCCAGAAGGGTCCCCAGGTTTACTGTCGAGCTGATGGCCTCATTCCCCCAATGCCCACTGACATGGCCTTAAAAAGGGCCGTTCTAATCCCTTATTTGCTCTAAGGAGTAATGTGAGAATTTTTCTGGGGTTGCCCGGTCCAGAGGGTCCCCACGGGAAAGGAGGAGGCCTGCCTCGGAAACCGGCAAGAGAGGAAGCCCACCAGGGGCGAGGGGACTTGGGTAAGGAGCATTTCCCTCTGAAACACAGGGACTCCTGGGGCCCTGTGGGTGTTCACGGTGCCAGGGAACGGGCCAGCGCACCAGGAGACCCAGCTCCACCTGCTCTCTGGGGCCCCGGCAAGTCATCCGCCTACCTTGATTTCCCCAGGTACAAATGAATAAAGACACTATCTTTCAACTCTAACTCTGCCTGACCATGATTCTGAAAGTTGGATCTGGAAGAGTGTGCAAACAAGAAACAAACACCCAGATAATCCACGCCTTGAAGAGTAAGTATGCCCCCTTCCACCTCGGGATCTTCACGTGTACTTCCAAAGGGCAGGAATTTGAGACACATAGTTTCCTGTTATAAATGACGCTCCCAATCTGCCGGCACGAGGAGCTACCCAGACCTGATCTCGAAGGTGCGTGAGACGAGGCTCAAGATGCTTGGGGGAGCTGGCTGTGGGTGGGCTGGATTTGTAACCCGTCCGTGGTTATAGGAAGGAAACAAGTGCAGGCCAGAATTAGAAAGAGAACTTGAGTCACCTGATCCAAAGCCTGAAGAAGTTTGGCAAAGAGAGAAAACAAACTACCACTTTTCCTGAAAGCTTGGAGGGTCCCTGGAGGGCTGGCCACAGGGAGTGGTCAGGACTTGGAGGTGGGTAGCTCAGGGCACTGCTTCTCAACCAACCCTTTCATGCAAACCCTGCTGGGTGGCCCAGTTTCTCTCCACTCTCAGGGCGGCATTGCTGGGACACTCCTTGGGGTGTGGGACAGGGGCCCCTGAAAGGCTTGCGGGCCTTGACAGGCCAGGCTGGGAAAAAGAGAGCGGACTGTTCTAACCCCTTACCTTCCCGCTTTTCACCACTGGAGGGGAGAGCCCAGCTGTCTCCTGAGAGCACCTGGGTGCTCCCCCCCATTAAAAACAGATAATAGACAGATAACTGAGTCTGCTACAGGGCCCTAAGAGATTAGGAGAGAAGGAATAGAAGTGACTTACGAGTTTACCTACTTCAGACACACACCAGACACCTTGTTTTCGCCCTTCTGAATAATTGCAGAGACAACCTTCCTAAAACCTAGGAACACCTTACCAGCCTCAGACCTCATCGGAAATGAGCCCCTGCCGGGCGAAGCCCCCCTTCTCCAGGCTTCCCCTTACCTGGCCTCCCATCAACGTCGTCAAGTCCCCTATGGCAAGGGTCCCCTCCTGATGGCTGTGACTAGGGGAGAAACAAGAGCGACGTGGGAAAGTGGATAAGAATGGACCGTACCTCCCACCAATCTCAAGCCCATGCCCCCACCTCCATGCTAACTCCTGGGGTCACCCACACCAGGAGTAAGAATGGGAGCAATGGGTGGGGCGGCCACAAGCTCAGCAGCCTACTCACCCGGGATCCGGGGCTGGGGCAGGCTCCGGCTCTGCATGGCTGGGGGGCGTGGGTGCCACGGCTGAGAACAGGGGATTCCTCTCCACTCAAGCTGTGTCTCACTTTTTGGGGCCTCCCACCACCTGTTCCCCACCTGCTAGGAGACCTTCCCCACATCTACCCAGGCGCCTTCTCAAATCTTTTCTCCCCCTCCCTGGCGACTCTTCAGTAACGGTCTCCCTCTTTCCTCCCACTCTGTTCGGCCAGTTCTCTGTAGTTCCCCAGCCTGCCCGGCTTGGGACCCACTCCCCCAGCGGTCGCTGGCCTTGCTTTCCCTCCGAGCCCCCTCTCTTCAGACCCTCTCCCTGGCTGTGCCTCTGTCCTGCCTTAAACGCCCTCTTTTTCCTCCTTCTCTCTAACCTTCCTAGGGCCTTTCCCTTATGCGCTTCCCAGCCCGGGCCTCCCTTGGTCCGCGTCCCTCTCACCTGGAGCCTGCACCTGTAGGGACTCCCCTGTGGGTTCGCCGCAGGACAGCCAGACGCCAGTGAGTAGCAAGCAGACCGTGGGCGCGTGGACGCGCCGGGCCGTGGCCCACATAGGGGCGCACGGGGACTGGGAAGTCTGAGCACAGGCCCGGGGTCCCGAGCGCCTCTCCCGGCGTTGGGTAGGTCACACTTCTACTGCGCGGTGGTGGCTGCCGTCTGTCTTGTTCTCTTTGCCCAAGGGTCCCCTTGGCCCCTCCTCCCAGGTGCCTGGCTCCTCCCCAAGCTAGAGCGACAAGACTGCCCAGCTTATTACCATAATTTAGGCGCCTGACAAAGGGCCAGCCTTCGCCCTTCCAGTACTGGCCGCCCCTCCCTAGGGGAGGGTGGATTCGGATTGCTCAACCCTAAACTCCCCTCCCCCCACTCCCCCAGCAAGATCCGGGATTGGAAACTAGTCCTGGAAGCCCCTTGCCCCAGAGACCCAAGATGCTGGTATGAGTCTCGTCCTCTGCATTCCTTCCACACAGGTCATGGTACATACCATTCAGTGGTCAGCGGTCAGTAGCAGAACCAGGGCTCAGGACTGCGGTCCTAGTCTGTGCTCCCACGGGCTCCACCGCAGCCTCCTGAGTACCCAAACCCCCGCCCTACCCCCAGTTTTGAGCAGCTCAGGAAATGTTGACTCAATGATGGACGTGCCCCCACACTCCCATACTATTGCTCCCATCAAGGCCAGACTTTGACCATCCCCTCAAAAAAATCTCAAAACTTTCATTTTAATTTTGTGGACAGGTCACCCTGCCTGTCCAGGAGGAAATTGAAAATGGATACATGGGCCTGAGAGCCTTGGGCACCCTTGTGTGTCATTCACTTGTCCAGCAAAGTGTTGGGACACCAGCTGGATGGCAGGCCTCAGAGATGATGGTGATGATGGTGTTGGCCCCAGTAGACAGACCCCTGACCAGGGGCATAGATTAGGGATGTATTCATTCATTCATTCATCCACTGAACTATGTTGTTGAGCATCTATTCCTTGCCACACGTTGCTTGGGGGGTTGTGTGGCAAAACACACAGCTGTCCTCAGAGAGGGGATTGAAGCTATGGGCATAGATGGGAAGGTGAAGAGGGGAGAGCCAAGGTTATGGAGCCTGGTTGTGGAATACGCAAGGGCGGGGTTGTCTAAGAGGAAGCTTGGAAAAAATATTCACGGTAGAAAAGAACCAGGACTTGGAGCCATTTTCAAAACAAAAAGGGAAGCATTTTAAGAAGGAGCCCTGGGGGGAGGCAGTCGAAGGGACCCGGGGGTGCTGTACCAGTGGACAACATTTCCTCTCGGAAGGGCATTTGCCATTCTGCCTGGATTCTAAACATGGCTACATGACGTAGCAGTGACAGGTACAGAACCAGCAAAGTAAGTTGGAGAGAAATATATTTTGTGTGTCTTTCCTGGACCTTTGAAAATCCCACAGTTCTTTCCCTTGTATCTCTGATGTAACTAGTTAATACTAAGGTGAGATCATGGATAATGTTTTAAGATTCTTCTCCAGGAGAGATTCGCATCATAAACTAGGCAATAATGGAACCCAAATAAAATGTCTAATGGCGAAACGTCAGCTCCTGGGGGGCAATGTAAAGGAGGGAGGGGGTCGTTAGGTGTCCCGATGCTTCAGTTGTGAGTGGCTCCCTGGTGGGGGCTGCTGCCCACCTCGTGTTCCTTCCCCCAGCGCGGTGCAGACAGGTCAGGCTCCCACCTTCCGCTGAGTCCAGATACAAGCTCCATAACTCAAGGCCCTCTGTGAGGTCCCCTCACACCTGTTTTATTACCCCTTTCCTGGCTGCCTCTTCTCAGTCTGTACCAGGCTTGGTTCGTCACTGTCTTTGCACCCGGCACCAGACCTGGAGCTGTGCAAACTTCGGTTGAAGTGAATCGAATGAAGCAGACGGAGTCTCAGGCCTGGGTGAAGGTCAGCTGTAAGTCCAGCTGTCCTTGCTAGGCTCTTCCATGCTTCAGGGAATGTGAGTGTGTGTGTAGGTGTGTTTGGAGGGAGTGGGCTAGGGGAGGTGGGTGGGGAAGGTTGTTGAGGAGGGGTGCTCCCATCCACCTGTTCTGGCCTCTGTGGGCCACAGTGATGCCCAGCCCCCAGGAATTCGCAGACTGAAGATTTCTTCCTAGTGGGAAAAGCCCATGAAGGAGTCCATTACAGAATGCGAGCTGAGTGTGGCAAGGGGTGACAGACTGCCTCATGAGGGCAAATGGGCCTCTATGTTGTGCGTCCAGAGAAAATTGACTAGATTACCCCCACCCCTACCCACCTATGTGCACGTCTCAGGACCTCTGTGGTCCCCACAAAAAGAGATGTCCCAAACCTCTTCCCCAGCCTCCAGAGATCCTCTCCTTCACCCGCGTGTGTTTGGAGGGTCAGCTCTAGAGGACTGGATTAGCCAGCCACCCACCTTCACCACCACAAACACACACTGCAAGCCCTTTGCTCCAGGGGCGCGTCAGCGAGAAGCGAGTAAATTCAGGACCAATGTCCCAGGCCTCCGCGAGGCTCTCCTCGAGGCCCTGCCCCCGCCCCGCCCCGCCTCCAACCGGTCAGGCCCCGCCTCCACCTGGCCAGGCCCCGCCTCCACCTGGCCAGGCCCTGCCTCCACTGCTCGCTGACACCGTCGGCCGCGGCAGCCCACAGCAAGGCGCCCTAAGGAGCGAGTAGTGCGTTGACGCGTCGCGATCGAGATCTGTCCCAGCCATGGACAGGAAGGTAGCCCGAGAATTTCGGCACAAGGTCAGAGCTGCTTGGGGCTCCCTTTTCCAGTGGGACCTGAGGGCTCTGGGGAGGCTGGGACCCCCGTGGTTATTTGATTGCCAGTAGGAATCCCCTGTAAAACGAGAAAGGTGCGCTATGACCCCAGCTGTAGGAACTGCTAAAAGGATCTGAAGGTAGCCTTTCTCTTCCTGTCCCCCAGGGGCTGGGACTTCGTCCGAGTTGGAATTTCTTTCAGCCTTGACCTGAGCAGGACACTTCTCTGAGATGGCCCACTGTGGGAAGATCCCCCAGCTCCTCCTAGTGGCCCCGCTCACTTGGAGCAGGAGGAGAGGGCTGGGGCCGAGTCTGAGAGGCGGGGAAACCTGCATGTCTCTTTCTGTCTCCTGACCTCAAAACACTTCAGGGAGTCCCCACTCCCTTCCCAGCTTAAGGGCGTTTCCGAGTTCCCCAGAACAGAAGCGGCTGAGGAATAGGTGCTGGCCTGGGGGGGGGGGGGCAGTGGGAAGAAGGGAGGAGGTCCAGAGACTCAGCAGACCCTTCTGGCTGAGCCACTTCTCCCGCCTCCCCCCCTCCCCCGTGGGTCCCACTGAGGAGCTTCATTGGTGGTCAGGAACCCAGGCGCTGAAAGCTGCTCGATTTCACCCAGGGAATTTCCAGAACAGTGTCCAGAGCTGTGCAAGAGCCATTGAGGCCCTGAGACCAGAGAGGACCATTCAGGAGACCCAGGGCACCTCCCCACCAGGCCTTAGGGTGCCTCAGAACCCATTGGTGAAGCCAGAGGTGCCTGGAGCTACCCACAAGCCCTGGCAACTGAGGGCGACCGTGGGCCCCGTAGCCCTCCCAGAACCCCCAGGGTCAGTGTCTTTAAACCATGCAAACCCCTTCCCAAGCCTGAGCAGGGGAGAGCTCCCTCCCCACAGAAAGGCCCAGGGGGGCCCAAGGAGCCGCGGCAGGGGCCACAGGGGCCAAGGGCTAGGAGCTGGGGTCAATCGTCCATTGAATAAACAAGTTGTGAGTATCTATTCTGTGCCAGACCCAGTCTCTGCCCTCAAACTGTTATTCGTGTTCCAGGGGAGGTGGACCCTACACTAGTAGTAACTACCCCACCGCTGGCTGCTGAGTGTTGTAATCAAGGTTTGCTGGGGGGCACAGAGGGGGCTGCTCATACCAGCGGAAGTCTGAAAATGAGGCGTTGCACACCCAGGGGAGAGAGATAGCTGGCGAATAGCTAAGGGGGCATGAAGCAGTGTTCACTGGCCTACCCTCTTGCAAAGGGATGTGAGAGGAGAAATTTCAGCATCGGAGACATTGGGTGAGTGTAGATTTCAGACGACCCACTCTGAGCCTGCGGCACAGCTCCCGTCCCCCACCCCAGGGCTCAGGCTTGAATTTCACTTTCCTGCCTCTGGGTGGAAAGCAGGGCAGGGTCCTCTTTTGCCTTCCCCCAAGGTGGCGTAGAGTCTTTGCCTCTTTTGAGAGAATTACTTCTGGAGGCCCCGAGTCTGCCTCAGCCCCTGGGTCAGCTCCTGTTCCTCTTCAACAGGCCCCACAGGCTCCAAAGGGCCTCAGGCCTCTGTGTTTTCACTGCCCTGCTCTTCCTCATCACAAGTCATTACCTATTAATGCCCTGTGTGTGCGGGCGGGGCAGGCGCCATACTGGGCAAGGCCTGGGCTGGACTTTGTGCCCTGCAGCTTGGGAGGCGGCAGCAGCCTTCCCCTCCCAGGCTGGAGATCGTCTGGGAACTGGAGAGAAAGGAGGAAGCAGCTGAGGATAAAGTGGGGGCACACAGACATAGCAGGTGAAATCTACTACTAGCTGTTGATTGCTTTCTTCATGTCCCCTCCTTAGTGTTTCACAGCAAACGGACCCCTTGGGAATGATGTGTAATCTAAATCCATAGTGCATTAAAGGTGGTATGTAGTCACGGAAAGTGCTGTGTTTCCTCGAGCCAACTATTAACCTCTCTGTGCCTCAGTTTCTAAGTTAGGATAACAATAATATTCACCTAGTAAAGTTATTGTGCAGGCTGGATGGGAGTGTAAATAGAACCGGGCACTTAGCAAGTCCTCAGCAAATGTCCACAGCTGTTGTCTAGCATCTGGGGTAACGCATAAACTAGGGTCAAATCTCAACCCTGTCAACTCACTACCAGTGAGACCTTGAGCAAGCCACACACCCACTCCAAGTGTCCGTTTCCTTGGTTGTGAGATGAGGTTCCTGGTGCTCACCTGAACGGACAGGACATGAGAAATGGGAACTGAAGCACTGGCTGCTCTGGGCACACAGTAACCGTTCAGTAAATGGCCACATTGTTGCCACCCAGGGCTTCTGAGCAACAGGAGTCTCTTCCTCTGCGCTATAGGTTCCCTGAGGCCACCAGCAGCACTTAGGTAGGTGGTCTTCCTGGTCATAGCCTTGGGCCAGGCAGAAGGACAGAAAAGATGAAGGCTTCTCCCCCAGAGAACAAGCTTCTGAAGAGAAGGCTGCCCCTGTGCTCACTCACCTGCACAGTGCAGGAGCTTGGTTACTCATTTGCTCAAAAAGAATTTATTGCCCGTGAGTATCTGTAGTGTACTCCGCCCCAGGCCAAGCATCTGGAGGTGGGGTGGGATATGTAAAAAGGAGAGAAAGAGCCCCTGACTTCTAGGGATTTCCTACTCATTCATTCTTTATTTGTGCATGCAATATGTATTGCCTGAGCTCGTAACATAGGCCAGACAGCAGTTTAATCACTGAATAACAGAACAAATTCTGTGCCCTCCTAGAGAGCACACTCTAGTAGGGAAGACGGACACTTAACAAGTAAACCAACAAAAGTATGGTGTAATGCCAAGTAGTGATGGTGCTATGAAAAATATAAACTGGGGTGAGGGTATAGGGAGTATCGAAGTGGCACTCTCTACACTGGGTCATGAGGAAGAGGTGACATTTAAGCAGAGACCTGGAAGAAGTGAGGGAAAGAGCCTTGGGGATATATGTGGAAGAGCATTCTAAGAAAGGGAACAGCAAGTGCAAAGGCCCTGAGGCAACAGATGCTTGTCTTCTTTTGGAAGGACAGGTACGATGGTGTTTCTGAGAGGAATTTTGACAGAAATTCAGAGAGTGGTGGGAGAGGGATCAGAGGGGTGGTGAGGTAGGCCATGGCCAGGACTTTGGGATTTTTTTTTAAGCCTGATGAGGTGCCAGCAGGGGAGTGACATGACTGATTTACACTCGAAAGGAATTGCTTTGACTGCTGACAGAGAGCAGAGTGACAAGGCCAAGAGGGGAATTCAGTCGGGAGGCTCCTACAGGCCAGAGGCAGGGGCTTGGACCAGGGAATGGAGTGGTCAGACCCAGGACACAGTTAAAGCCAGGCCTGATGGGCCTTGCGGAGGGGGTGGCTGTGGGTGTGGAGAGAGAGGAGGCATCAGGGTCAGTCTGCATTTTTGAAGAAGAATCAAGTTGGCGGGGACAGAGTGGAAGGTGGTGGAAACTTAAGAGTTCCATTCTGGATGTTCTAAGTGAGATACCTGTTAGACCCTGAGACAGGTGAGCGAGAAGGCCGGTAGCTGCAGGAATGTGAAGACAGGGGGAGAGGCCTGTGCTGGACCTACGTCTCAGCGAGTCCTCGGGGTACGCATGGTAGTTCAAGCCCTGAGACTGATGGGGTCCCTTAGGGCAGGGCTGACAGACTCATTTTACCAGGGGCCACATCAGCCTGGCAGTTGCCTTCAAAAGCCAAATGTAATTTCAACTTTTTAACAGTTAAGGAGTAATGCCATTTATATAGTCCTAAAATTATTTCGACCCTTTGAAGGCAACGGTGAGGCTGTTATGGCCCCAGTAAAAACGAGTTTGACGCCCCTCCCTGCCTTAGGGAGACAGTACAGGTGGCGAGAAGACCTGGGACAGAGCTCGGGACCCCCAACCTTCAGAGGAGAGAAACAGCAAATAAGACCGGAGAACCAGGAACCGGGAGCGTGGGCAGCTGTGCCAAGTGCTGGGTCAGATGCTACCGAATAGTTGGCAAGAAACTAGTCTTTTGAAAAGATGAAGGATAATAAAACAATAAACAAGTAAACCCGGTACTATCCGGGATGCAAGCCTGGGAGGCCTGGGGAAAATGCGCCTGGACCCGTTCGCCCCACCGACATTAGGGAGGGCCCACTCTCTGCCAGCTGCTGGGAAACAGAATCGATATTGTTTATTCTTCCTTAGTTTTAAAAATACTTAGAACTATTTGTCAGGCACTGTTCTAAACATTTACAACTAATGACTCGTGAATAATTTAAAAATTATTACTCGTATGAAATAGATACTTTCATCCCCATTTTACAGATGCAACCCAGATGGGGCGGAGCTTGTTGGCCCCACTCTCCCCATTCCCACCAGGCCTGTGCCCGGCCACACACACGTTACTAGGGAAACAGGTGGGAGAGAGAAAGTACAACATGGCTTGGCGAGTCCCACGGCAGGGGTGGGAACCAAGTGCCATCCTGTGTGCACGTACTGACAAGGACAGGCTTTGTGGCTGAGCCTGAGGAAAGGCTTGATCAAGGAGAGCCGATGTTGGCGCTAAGGAGCCTTAAAGGTGGAGGAAGAGGTCACAGAGAGGAAAGGCTGCTGGACTGCCATCGATAACAGCTAACGTTTCAGACCAGCCGGGGTCAGGTGGGAGCAGCTGGCTCATCCAAACAGGAAACCGAAGAGAGTTTTATGAAGGGACTACAGACAGGGAAGGGCAGGAACACGTGAACCAACGAGGCTTGTTAACATAGCCTGGGAGGAGCAGCAGCTGGCAGCCAGGTGCTCCTGAAGACGAGGGTCCCCAGAATGGGGGACAGCCACGGCCCAGACAGGAGCTGCAGCCTCAAGTCCAGGGAACCTGCCTTAAGGGGACCCAGCATGGTGGCAGCCTGGAATCAACCCAGGGCCTTTCACCTCACCGCATCTCCACCCACTGCTGAACGCAGCAGGAAGCCAAGGGCCGGGAGCTCAGGCAAAGCTTCCTGGGACTCGGCAGGGTGGCAAAGGCCGGAGAGTGGGTCTGGAGATTGAGCAGACCTTTACCAGCCCTGGGCACTGTCCTAAGTACTTTACACGCATTCACTCATCTAATCCCCACCACGGCCCAAGGTCAAGTGGAACAATATGCATTATTTAATTTGTTCTTGCTCTCTTTCTCCCTCTTTGGCTGGGTGCACATGTAGAATTGAATTTGCATGAGCTAAAGGGTGTATGCTTCCCCTGCGTGGCTGTCCTGAAGGGCCAGACCATACAAAGGAATGAATGCTGGGAGGTGAGGCTGCTGAGGGCCAAGAATTTGCCTCTCGTGCCCCAGACAAGGGGCCCAATCCCCCTCTGCTCCCTGCCATAAAGACCTATAGCACAGAATCAGCTGAGCGTCAGTCAGAGAATGCTCATGTTAGTTGAAGGGGACCAGCTACAAGGTCAGACACAAAGTCATTGGGGATAGGGGACTGATGTGATAGAGAGACCCCTTCAACAGTAATTTGTAGATGGTGGGCTTCCTTAGGATATCTGCTCCCATGTTGAGAGGGAATCTAAGAAAAGGAAAGGCTTCCTAAACCTAGTTGGAGAGAAGACAGGGTATCTTACACATAGGTGCCCAATAAGTGTGTGTTAGACAAATGCATATAAAAAAATTCTACCTGGTAAGTGAATACCATGTGGTGTTCTGAAAAAGCACAGAGGTTTGGAGCCAGTGGGCATAGGGTGAAGTCTGAGCTCTGCCACTTCCCCGGGCCTCTATTTACTCATCTGTGAAATGGGGATGATATTGTCCAGTCACCTCAGAGGGTTGTTGGGAGGTCAAAGACAATACACATGAACTTCCTCAGACATGGCGGGCAGTCAGTAAACAGAATCTGTCCTGAATGAGGGAGCCGGTCAAGCAGAGCCTCAGGCTGGGAGGCTGGTGAGCAGGCTCCAGACTGTGCAAGGCCAGGAGAGACTCTGGGGCTTGTATTCATTCACCTTACACAAAGGCAGCATTCACAGGGGAGGAGAGAGGACAGTCCCTCTTGCGTGAGTCTGGGACTTACTTTTTTGTCACGAGCTGAAACTTAGCTAAGAGGAGGAAGATCCAGGGGGCTGTGGCAAGTGCGTGCTGAGGAGCAATGGGGGGCCAGTCACCCAGGACAGGCCAGGAGGTTGGAAGGGAGGCTCCAGACTAGAGCAGCTGGTGTTCATGTGTCCCTCAGCAGACACCACTGAGCACTGTGCACCTGAGTGCACAGCCCTGAGCACGGGTGGTTTACCTGCACCCGAGCGCAAGTCATGGGGAGAAGCCACACAGCGTCCCAGAGCAGGCGCTCCAAAGCCGATGGAGGATCCTTCTGGCAACTTTGCTAGAACTGAGACTCCAGGAGGTGTGTGTGTGGAGGCGTACCATATAAGGTTTTAAAACTTAAACATAATATCTGCATTATGGTGGTGACATTGTGTTATGGTCAGGCCTCCAGAGAAGGGTCCATCTCGCTCAGTTGTCTGAGGTGTGAGCGTGTGCGTGTGACATTCCACACAAACCAGATATGTTTTCCCAGCTGTCGTGATGAGTGGATGGCTTCCTGAATGAACACGTTGAAATTATCGAGGTACATGGAGCATTAGGAGTCAGGGCAAGGAGGCTGCAGGGTGCTGGGGGGAGGGTCTCTTCCGCTGCAGCTGGAGTCCCACTTAGGAAAGGTGGAGATGACCCTGGAGAAGCAGGTGAGGGCAAAGCTCAAGGCCAGGATTTGAGTGACCTGACTGGTGAGAGTGAGGGGACGTCAGGCTAAAGAGCTGAACTTGGCAGCTGCCTCAGGAGACTGGTAAGATGTGATTTCGGGGGGGAGGAGAGGGTGCCCTGGATGCAGTGGTCAACACTGGAGCGCTGCCTGCAGGACCGGGACCCCAAGACCCCCAGGAACAGGCTCTTTTCCACAAAGACCAGGTGATCGGTGCTTGGCTGGGAAGGCAGAAAAACAGAATCGTAGACTGTAATGTTGGAAATTGCTTTTGGCCCCTGCTCCCACTTTCCACCCAGTGCATGAACGCTGCCCACCGAGGACAGCGGTGGGCATTTCTGCAAGGAGGGGTGGGAGGGAGCATCGGCCGGAAGGCCTCAGCCAACAGAATTCGCTCTCCTATCCTTTTTCTCATGTGCCCCACAGCTGGAGTTGGGCTAGAAGCCCTTTGGTCAGTGTCCTCACTGCAGCCAGAGCAGATGGGGTTTTCACGCTCCCCTTGGAGAGCAGAGCATCCATGGCTCAGTCTTTCAGAGGTTTCCCGCTCATTACGAAACCAAACCAAAACGGTTTTCTTGCCAGTGCAGAGGAAATAGATGGGGATTTGAGATAAGGAAGAACTTCTTGAGAGCAAAGGGCTTGAAATTTTGGCCTAAAGAGGCCCTGGAGTTTTTCTACAGCAGGAAGTGCTCCATCAGGAACAGCGGAGCCACAGAGCCCATGGTTCGAACCTTAGCTCTGTCTCATTAACTGTGGGGGGCCTTGGGTGAGTTGATTTAACCTCTCTGGTCTTCGGTGTCCTCATTTGCAAAATGATGTGAGGATATTGGCCTCATACGGCTGGTGAGATAAACGAGAGGAAGCCCGCCTCCAAAAGCTCCTGGTGCCATCCCATGGTCACTCTGCAAACATTATGTCCCTTCCCCTTCTGTTCCCACGCTTCCCTTCCTCCCATTCCCCCAAGAGGCAGGAGGATGGACAAACCTATTCTATATTTATTTATTGACCCCTTGCCATGTGTTAGGCACAAGGCATTTACAACAGATGGACCTCATCCTTGCCCTCATGGGGTTTCTGTCTGTTAAAGGGAATAAACCAATTCACACACAAAAAAGCAAGCCTTGAATTACAAACTGTGACTGCTGTAATGAAGGGACCGGAACATCTCTGGGGGCTGGAATGGATTCTATTTGGGAAAGTGAGCAGGAAGACCTTCCTGGAAAGGAAGCCAGCTGTGCAGGGAGAGAGGAAGCAATCCAGGCAGAGAGAACAGCATGTGCCAAGGCCCTGAGGCTGAAGCAAGTATGCCCTGTAGGAGGCACAGATTAGAGGCCCTGGTAGTCAGGAGGAGTGGCAGGAGATGAAGTTGGGCTCTAACAAATCCAAGTAAAGATTTCAGATTTGAATTTTAAGCACAATGGGAAACTATTAAACAAGCCAGTGATGTGATGCAATTTATAAAGATAATTCTGGCCCCTGACCCCAGGGGAGTTCAGAATGTTTCTCTGCTCAGACTCATCCACTACAGTGGAACGTGGCAGCCCAGGCCTGTCTCACGGGGTCTGTCCCACCCCTCTCATGCGGGCCCAGGCAGAGCCCAGGCTGTGTCCTCGGGAGGTGTCCACTTATGTGGTGCGTGCAAGAGCCCGGGCTACTGCCCTGAGATTTGGTACCACCCACTCGAGCACACGCTTCGGTTCCCATCTTCCAGCTGACTGGGAGCGCCTGGCCTGGAGGAGGCGGGCAGCGACATAGGGGAAAGCAGGGGTGCTCTTGAGCAGGTGGGGCCCAGCTGTGACACAGCGGAGGGCAAGCCTCCTAGGTCATTCTCACCTTCGCTGAAATGCTCGTCTCACTTCAGAGAGAAGAAGGCACTGCCAGAGACCAGAAATCTGGGTTCCGTACCCCCCTGTTTGGGGCAGAAGCCTGCAGGGCGGGGCCTAGTATGTTGGGACAGACAGACTACTCCAGAACCCCTGAGATACCCATAGAAAGAGGCAGAGCTGCTCAGGCCCTTCTCTGAGGACCGGTCTGGTGGGAGCTTCCAGCTTCCAGCAGCAGCTTCTCTCTTGGGGAGCTGAGGCACTGGGCCATGCGGTTGGGCTTGGAGGCTGCAGGAGCTGGGAACCCGGTGATTTCTCAGGTCTCTGACCTTGCCCTCTCACTCAGTCTTGGGCTGAAGAGGAGCCCAAGGATCCAGTGCATAGAGATTTGCACCGAACTGTTTCAGGGAGTGGAATTCAAGGCTTCTGGTCCACTAGCTCCCCTGAGACTGAGGTGCTAATGAAACAGCTCCTGACCCTGACCTTGGAGTCCCAGCCATTGACGTCAGCAAAGATGAAATAATGTAACTTGACTCCCCCCCTGCAGGGGGTGGGGGCACATTCAGGGGCCTGGAGAGGGGAAGGAGCAGCCAGAAGTCGGGGCTAACCAAGCCTAGGCCCGGAAGGGACAGGGTGGAGCTGCCCCTGGCAATGGTGACACAGAAGAACAGTAGTGGGGCGCTTCCGGCGGCGGGTGGGATGTGCTACCTGAGCGAGTGGCCCAGATCCTTCCTGAGAGCAGTTATCAGGCACTACAGCCACCGTCAGGTAAGACCAGGGCGCTGGCACTGTTGTTGACCCCTGGGCACCGACCGAGGAGCAGCACTGCTATCGTGGGGTACCTCTCCGTCATATGTGTGCCTATGCGTGGGTACCCCCCCAGGAGAGGCTCAGCCCGCCACATCAGGAGGTGCGGAGTGCCCCTGTGGCCCCTCATGGGTGGTCTTCAAGGGCGTGATGTGTTGGTGGCGGAGGCCCAGCCCGCCTGCGGCTTTCTTCCTCTCCTCACGGCCCAGCCCAGAGGAGATGCTGAGGAGGGCCCCAGCGGGGGTCTCCCCCTGCCCTGCAATGTGTTATGGGGGTGCTGGGCCTGTAATTCTGCTCTTGGGTTTTTCAGGTGGACTTTCTGATAGAAAATGATGCAGAGAAGGACTATCTCTACGATGTGCTGCGGATGTACCACCAGTAAGTGCGCCGAGTCTGCTGCTTCTGGGCCACCTGGGTCCCTCCGTCTGCAGGCAGCCCTGGGATGGGTTGTTCTGAGACAGGAGGACTTCCCCTCCCGTCCTGCAGAGCTTGGGCGCGGGGCAGACGCACAGGCTCCTGGGAACCAAATGGGCACGCCATTCACTTGTCTCAGCAAATATTTACGCACTCTGTGCACAGCTCTGTGCTGGGGGCTGGGCACACCTGTGAGCATGACAGAATGGTCGCTGCCCTCAGGTTGCTCACAATCCGATGGGGGCAGGCTGTCAAGTGGTCAGATAGGCTCAATAGACCGGGACTGCTGGAGTAGGACAGGAAGTGCCAGCTGGCCCCATAACCAGTGTCAGGTGTCTCTTATCACCCACCTGCGTTTTGATTCATCCAGCATGCATTTATAAGCTCCTGCCACTTGCTGGGTGCCTCGCAGACTCTGGTAATGAAGAAGATCTACTTTCTTCCCTCAACTAATTCATGGCCTAGGGAGGGGAGATGGACAGACACTGCAAACATAAAAACTCTAATATAAGTAAGTTACAGTAAAATAACCTCTAAATAGAAGTAAAAGGATGTGAAGAAAGGAGTTTCATTTCTAACCATGGGGGAAAGGACCAAAAAGGCATGAGCTGGGCTTTGAAGGATAAGAAGATCGATAGGTGGAGAGAGTAGAGAAGGACATTTGGGATGAAGGGTCAACATTAGCAGGTATGAATTGAAGATGTGAAAACTCAGGTGTGACTGGGAAATGACCAGGAATCTGGGGGAGTAGAGCTTGGGGCTCCAGGTGACCAGAGAGAGCCACCAACCGGAGCAGGTGCAAGGAGACAGGTTATGGAGGCCCCGAGCCTGCTGGGAGAATGGATCGTGTCCTCTGGGCAGTGGGGAAGCATGGACGGTTTTGAGAAGAGAAGTAGCTGGCATTTGGAAAAGGTTAGATGAGAGGGCACAAGTTGGCAGGCGCTGGGCAGATGCAGGCTGGAGACACCAGGGCCCAGATCGTGGGAGGAGGAGGTGTGTGGGAGATGTCACGAATGTAGACTTTACGGAGTTCAGCTACAGAGCAGAAGTGTCAGACCGGAGAATGATAGGGGTCACCCCCATCTCACATGACGTTTCCCGTCTGGAAAGATCCTGGGCTTCAGGCCAGGCAGAGTCAAGTTTGAATCCTGATTCAATGTCATTGGCAAAATGGGTTAATAATCCCTGCCTCTTCAGCTTCCTTATGCTACCCGCATGAGAGAACAAAGCTCTTCTGAGACTCCTGGCCTGGAGTTCGGGGCTCTGGGCCTTTCAGGAGAGTGCTTCTCAGGTCCAAAGCCTGGGCCCAGTGGGTGGGGGAGCCAGCCCAGCACTGCTTTCTCTGGGAATCCTTGGGTCTCAGAGCTCATGGTCATGGGTGAGGCTGCAGGTGTCCCCCTGTCTCTGCAGGACCATGGACGTGGCCGTGCTCGTGGGAGACCTGAAGCTGGTCATCAATGAGCCCAGCCGCCTGCCCCTGTTTGACGCCATCAGACCTCTGATTCCGCTGAAGCACCAGGTGGAGTACGACCAGCTGACGCCCCGGCGCTCCAGGTGCGGAGGGAGCCACCGGGCTTGGAGGCAGGGGATGGGAGAGGTCCCCCTGGGCTGGACAGGGTCGCTCATGAGTGGATGGGCAGCACGGGTGGTCGGGTCGGAGCTGGGCCACCACGGACTTCTCCTACGGCAGGAAGCTGAAGGAGGTGCGTCTGGACCGCACAAACCCTGAAGGCCTCGGCCTCAGTGTGCGTGGCGGCCTCGAGTTCGGCTGCGGGCTCTTCATCTCCCACCTCATCAAAGGAGGCCAGGCAGACAGCGTTGGGCTGCAGGTGAGCGAGCGGAGTCCCGGGGTTTCCTGCCTCCCCTCCCTCACTCACTGGGCTGGGGGTGGTCACCTCACCTTTGAGACTTTGGGAGAGGGAGAGGCTGGCACATCCTGCTAGATTTTCCTGAGGCCTGTAGAAATCAGGCTGCCGGCGATTGCCCGTTTTCTTGAGTGTGTTGGGAACATGGGTCCCACCTGCTGCCGCAGCCCCGCACCCCTCCTCCCCTCCTTCCTAGTTACATCCTAACTCCTAAAGTTTTGGACACGTAGCCTTGTCCTGGAAGGTAAAAGGACATCCTGGTATAGTATCCAGACTGTCCCGGCCTTGCTCTTCATTGGCCGTGTGACCTTGGTGAAAACATTTCACCTCATGCCTCAGTTTCCTCATCTGTAAAGTGGGGGTGTGAGGATACCATCTACCTCGTCATGTTGTTATGAGCAGTAAATGAATTCATATCGTATAATATTTATAACAGCACCTGACGCATAAGTGCTCTGTGTTTGTGAGGTGAGCGGAGAGAAAGCTTGAATAAACACCTAGAATGTGCGGGGTGACACGCTCACTCACCACCAGTCCTCGTTCTATTCCTTGGCTGTAACAGAGGCCCAGGGTCTTGATCACAGTCACAGCCAGCCAGTGGCAGAGCCAGGATTTGAACCCAGGTCTCCTGACTGCCAAGCACAGGGATCTTTCTTCAGCACCCCAGATGCCCTGTCCCTGGGGTCCCCACATCTCAGTGTCTGAGCAGAGATGGGCAGACCTCCAGGTCTCACTCCTGCCAGAGCCCAGAGCTGTGTTTTCCGATGTCCAGATAAAAGAGGCCCTCCCACCCCCCTCAGAGCTTCCAGCATGTTCGTTATCAACATCCCAATCTGGGCTGCCAAGCCAGGGGCTTCAGGGGCCCGAAGGCAAAAGGTACGAGACGCCGTGGAGTGGGAGGTGGAAACCGGGAGCTGACAGACATCGCTTTGTTCTAAATCCCTGTCTCACGGCTCGCCGGGGCGGCTGAAATTTCAGCCGCTTCATTATTCCTCCCCCGCGCGGCACATTTTCCAGCCCAGAAATGCAGCCAGGGAGAAAAACATAATGAGCTCCTCTCCTGGGAAGCCCTGTTTTCCGGAGTGAGCGCTCCTTCTAGAAAAGAATTTCTCAATGTTGCCCCCGTGACTGGGGCATTCTAATGAAATGGAGTTTTATCTTCCCACCGATTTCTCAGGTTATGAATTATCGACCCTTTCTCGGGCGGACAGGCTCATCCCTCCTTTGTGCCGCTGCCCCTCGGATCGTCATTTCATTGTGGCCCTTGCACAAAGGGCCTTTTGCAGGGCTCCACTCGGGAGCGAGAGAGAAAGAGAGGAAAGCCGATCCAGCAACCTGAGCCAGGGGCTGTGTGGGAACGATTCTGACTGGGGTCCCCAGCCATTCCCTTTAGGAAGAAGACAGGGAACTTCACCCAGAGGAGCTGGGGGTAAAAAAACACCTTCATCCATTCACCTGTCTGGGTTCATGTTTCTGGGGAGATCTCATGCCTGAGTGCGGCTGGAGGAAGATTCTGGAAGGCAAGGGAGGGGCATGTTCAGGCACAGCCTGGCGGACTGAAGGCCCTGCTGATCTGGGCCTGTCAGGTTGGGGGTTTGGGCCCACGGACATGACCCAGCCTCAAACCCCATCTCTCCGCTTTTAGCCCCCTACTGGAGAGATTTTAGATTTTTTTCAAGTGTTTCCTGTTTGAACCCACATCCTTTGCCCTGCCCTGGGCGATCTGTGCAGCACAACTCGCTGTACAGTTGGGTCTGGGGAACGAGAATGACTCTGCCTGCCCTGGTTGTCCCAGCTGTAAAATGGGCGGAGTAATCCCTGCCTTCCCTGCGGGACTCAAGGGCTCTGGCAGGCGGGAAGGACCCAGAGACTGCAGGGCACAGGGACGGCAGCCAGGCTTGGCCAAGCGCCCTTCTTTTCTGCTCCTGAACACCCAAGACACAACACTTGTTGTCTGTCGAGGAAACCTGACAGTCAACTCCCAGCAACACCGTTGACTGGCTGGGTGACCTTGAGCAAGTGACGCCACCCAAATGAGCCTCAGTTTCAATAGGTGTCTGAGGTTCCCTCCAGCCCCGCAGTTACTAAGTGAGGAGCTTCAGGCCAGATCCCCAGGGCCAAGGTAGGCGGAAGAGCCCAAGGCAGTGTCCAGTGGGGGGCAGTCTCACCGTGGAGCCGCATCCCAGGCCGGCCCCCCCATCTCTCCCCATCTAATGAGGGCTAAGTCCTGAGAAGGGGCATCTGAGCTCAGGTTTGACTAATAATAACAATAACAACCACTCGCTTATTACTTTCGGGGTTCCAGGAGGTGGCTGTCCTTACGTGTGCACCCTCAATTTTCACAGCAACTGCAGCATATCCCCATTTTAGAGATGGGGGAAACTGAGGTTCAGAAAGTCGAACAGACTTGCCCAAGGTCACACAGCTAATAAGAATAAGAGCAGAGGGGTTTGAAGCTGGGACATCTGATGCTAAAGCCTTAATGTTCATTTAGTGTTCTTTGCTCACGCCCAGAATGGCGATTCAGAGGTCAGGGCTGTAGCTGGTTAAAATGTCCATCAAGTTTCCATTGAGTGGAAAAGAAGGGATCGTGTGTGTGTCAGTGATGCGAGCTTGGGTCGAGAGTCATGGACGTTCACACCCCGACTCTGTCATGCTGTTGCAGGGAAGCCTGTCCTTGGGGTGGGGTGGGACAAAGGCCAGGGAAGAGCTGCTGGACTCTGGGTGAAGGGTCGCCCTCTGCATGGATTCTGGAACCTGTTGGTGCTCCGAGGGGGTAAAAGGGACACCGGTGTGAGGATACAGCCTTCAGTTCCACTCCCAGCTCTGCTACCCACTCTCCGTGCCCCTGCCCCACTGTCTTGGTCTTCCCATCTGTAATATGGGGCCGCACAAGATTGTTTGGATGTGCCACCATCCTGGGAACCCTCAGGCTATTGAGGGTGGGTTGGTTGTGCCAAGGCACTAGGGCACGTATCAAAGTTTCTTTGAGGGGAGGCAGGGCCATTGTCCTCTTTGCTGGAGAGCAGGCCCGGGGCATCTGGCAGAGAGCCTGCCCAGCCACCTGACGTCCCTTCAGCCTGGTGCTTGTTCCCCCGTCTGTGGCCAAGGTAGGGGACGAGATCGTCCGGATCAACGGGTATTCCCTCTCCTCGTGTACCCATGAGGAGGTCATCAACCTCATCCGCACCAAGAAGACTGTGTCCATCAAAGTGAGACGTGAGTGAGGCCAGAGGGCAGAGATGGGGTGGTGCAGATGGTGGGCTGGGGAGGGTCGGCAGCAGGGAGTCAGCTCCTGGGGGAGGCAGGGAGGGCAGAGGAGCCGTCCTAACCCCCATCCTCTCTCCCACAGACATCGGCCTGATCCCTGTGAAGAGGTGAGCAGGGCCCTCCCTGGGGACGCAGGGTCTGGGGATCAGCCCTGGGGTCTGACTTCCCACAGGCCAGCACTGCCCCTGGACCAGCGGTGGCTGGGGACTCCAGAGGGCCCAGATCTGGACTTGGGCCTGATGCTTCAAGTATCTCTCTCTAATGACCCCCCCCTTCTCTTTTCCCTTCCTGCCAGCTCCCCAGACGAGCCCCTCAAGTGGCAGTATGTGGATCAGTTTGTGTCAGAATCTGAGGTAGGGGCCAGAGCCCCCAGTGATGGGGTCTGAGTGAGTGGTCTTCAAGGAGGGGCTCACGTGGCCCCAGGGCACCTGGAAAGCCCCTGTGGGTGATGGGCCTCCGCCCAGCCCAGCAGGTACAGAGACCCCCACCCTCACCAGGGACAGAATAACCACAGGCTCCCATGGGGACAGCAGTGCTTATGAGCTCAAGTAGCCATTTGCACACATGTGACACCTAGTGACCCTTATTCTATCCTTCCTCCAGGGTGGGCGGGGCATCCTGGGCTCTTCAGGGAGTCGGGAAAACAAGGAGAAGAAGGTCTTCATCAGCCTGGTGGGCTCCCGGGGCCTCGGCTGCAGGTGCGTGACTGGCAGGCCCTGGGGCTCTCTCGTGGCCAGCAGACCCCAGTAGGGCCCCAACACCTCTCCCCTTTCTCACTGCTGCTTCAGAGGGAACTTTTCTTCATGGGTAACGACATCCCTTGGTGCTGGGTCTCCCCTTTGAGTTTCACAATGGCCCTGTAGGGCCACGGGGACAGCTCTAATAGGTCCATTTTACAGATGAAAAACTGAGGCCCCCAGGAAGAACCACTTTCCTTTGGTGGGTCCTCGAGTCACAGTAAATGGAGCCTGTCCTGCTGGTCATCTCTGTCACTGTTCCCTTGTCACTTACCATCTTGTGGGCTTCCTGCAAACTGGCATAGGTTGCAGACATAGTCTTATTGAGCATGCAGATGCTACAGTCACAGATGAAGGGGTCAGTCCCTGCTCTGTCACTTGTGAGCGTGGGAACCTTGGACAAGTTATCTAACCACTCTGAGCCTCAGTTTCTCCCTCGATAAATTGGAAATAATAAAGTCCACCTTGTGAGGAGGAATAAGAAGACAGAGCTTAGTGCCTGTCAAGTAATAAGCAGTCAGTAAATACCAGCTATTCTTTTTTGAGTTATTCTTACTGTTTCCACTCATTCACATTTACTCAACACTTTTCTGCCAAGTATAAGTAAGAAAGAAGTCCCTCCTTTCTAAGAGATCACAGCCTAATATTGAAGCCAGCCACATAAATGGTTACAATATAGAGTGACAAAGATGCCAATGGAGCTGCATTCTGCATCAGGCTGACAGATAAGTTTCCAATCCTGTGCTATCTCTAATCGATTAGCAGTGGCTGCCTGGACTGCTGTTTTGCAAAGAACTCTAAGACTGTATCTGGGCTTGGTGGGAGAGCACTGTGATCAGTGACTCCTGCCACAGGTCGGGGAGGGGAGAACAATGGTACAAATGCCACCCTTGCGGTAGGTGTTTTAGGAGCACTGAGAAGGGAGCAACCACTTCGTCTTAGGAAAGAAAAGGCATTTCATTTAAAACCTTGTAGAGAAGCTAGCACTGGAGTCTTAAGGAATGAATAGGAAAGTGCTAGGAAAAGAAACAGCATATGTGATATTCCATGCGAGGGGTTGGGCAGGGTAGTTTTCCGTGGCTGTTGCCACAGGTGGGCCGCGGAGAGCTGAGTTCATGGGTGAGCTGTATCCTGAGGGGCTGGAGCACTGGACGCCAGGCGGAGGGGGCCGGACACTGCGAATGAGCAAGCGCTGAAGGCAGAGGCTCACCTGCATTTCCCATCACTTCCGCAGCATTTCCAGCGGCCCCATCCAGAAACCTGGCATCTTCATCAGTAACGTGAAGCCTGGCTCCCTGTCTGCCGAGGTGGGCCTGGAGGTGAGTGGCCCTGGCCGGGGGCAGACCGCGATCACACAGTGACGGAGGCACGTGTCTTCCCACGTAGCCCTCTCTCGGCGATCACTGGCTGATGCTTCCTACCCGCCCCCCAGGGAAAGTGTCACGGGGGTGGCATTCGACCCTTCCTACAGTCTTCTCCAGCTCTGAGAGTCTTCGGTCCTACACATGGGATGTAGTAATACTGACCAAAGAGGTGGCACTCGCTGAGTGCTCATTGGATCAGACGTTGTTCTAAGCCCTTTAAAATGGGTAAGAACTCTTAGAATTAGGTACTATCATTATCCCCATATATTATCCATTTTACAGATGGGGAAACTGAGACCCAGGGAAAGTATGTGATTTTTTCCCGAGATCATGTGCCTAGAATGGTAGGGTTGGGATTCAGCCAAGGCGATCTGATGCCAGAGCTGGAACTTTTGACCTCCACTTTGGACAAATGGTTTCCTCTTTTTGTGCGTCAGATTTCTCTCCCATAAAATGGGGAAATAGCCTTCCTTCTAGAGACATCATGTGGATTACATGAGTTAATACACATGCTTAGAACAGGCATATAGTAAGGGATTGATGAATGTCAGGTGCCAATTATTATCATGACTCAACACAGCCACAGCTACATGAGAAGCCCAAAGGCTCCTGTGTCTACATACTGAGTTTTTAAAGCAAATGTCATAAATTCAGTCAAAAGAATGAACCTCTACTGATACCATATTTGGCAGCTGACAAAAGAGATATGAGGTAGGGGGCCCTGGGAGAACCCCTCGGAGCTTTCTAACTGCGCTGCTCATCCAGGAGAGCCGAGGCGCGGCCACCTAAGGCCCAACCTCTGCCCTTGCTCCCCAGGGGAACCTTTCCTGCAGATAAGTCAGAGTACAGATAGTGCAGACGCACTGATCCCTCTCCGTCTCTCCTCCAGACAGGGGACCAGATTGTCGAAGTCAACGGCATCGACTTCTCCACCCTGGACCACAAGGAGGTGAGGCGTGGGATGTTCACCTGCTGGCGTTACCACCTCTGCCCTCCACTTCTCACCCCCTCCCCCTGCCATGGTGACTGACACCTTCCGTGCTCTCTAGAAGCCTCAGTTTCTCTGATCTGTCAGGCCTCAGCTGACTGTCTGCCCGTCCCCACAGGCCGTGAACGTGCTGAAGAGTAGCCGCAGCCTGACCCTATCCATCGTAGCTGGAGCTGTAAGTCCAGAATGAGCTTCTGGGGGCTCCATGGCCCCTGACCTCCAGGCCCAGCCACTCAGAGCCCTGATCTCTGCCACACACTCCCGAGAAGAGCCGAGGGGTCACCTTCCCTGAAGCTCTGACAAAACAGAGCAAGGGGATCTCTGCCCAGCCAGGGGACATTCGGGTCAGACACAGCAGGGACCACAGTGCCTGACACTGGGGTCACGGTGATGAGAAGAGAACCCTCATCTTGGCCCCCAAGGCAGTGGCAGTGGAAGCCCAGGTTCCCCTGGGGACTGAACAAGGTGTCTCTTTTCTCCCCACGAGGGCCGGGAGCTGTTCATGACAGAGCGGGAGCGGCTGGAAGAGGTGAGGCAGCTCGAGCTACAGAGGCAGGAGCTTCTCATGCAGAAGCGGCTGGCGATGGAGTCCAACAAGATCCTCCAGGAGCAGCAGGAGATGGAGAGGCAGTGAGTGTGGCCAGCTAGGGCGCCTCTGTCCTACCCTCCCAGACTGCCGTACAACCCCACCCGCCTTGCTTCCCGCTCACTGCATCCTGAGCCGACCTCATCCTGTCCCCCTGAGGACTGTCCTCAGACAAGATGGGTCCAATGGTGGTCTGCATAAGCATCCTGGGCCTTCAGACCACCTGGCTCCTCCCTCCTTGCCAAAGAGAACCCCCAATTTCCAAGACCCAGGAATATGCATGCATATGGGGCTACTACTAGCAGTAGCTAACATCTGTTGAGTACCAATCATGTGGCTGGCATTGCATTATGGCCTTGTGTATGTTACCTACTTTCATTCTCACAATAGCCCTGTGAGACAGATGGTATTAAACCCATTTCACAGATGAGGAGACTGAGACCCAAAGAGGGTAAGCCACTTGTGGGCAGAGTGACACGTGGCCAAGCTGGCCTTCACACCAGGTAGTCTGACCTCATCTATGGTGATAAGCCCTATGCCCCTACGTCAAGTGGTTGAGATAATAAATTGAGAGAATAATTGGTGAGTAATTCATAAATCAAAAACTATCATCAAAATTTAAATCCAGGTACATTCTAAGAGCCCCATAAGAATTTGGAAAAGGAAAGTAGACAGGATTTTCCCATCTCAGAATTAGCCTGGAGAATCCCTTGTGCTAGTACCTCTGCCCACAGCCCTGACCTTGGGTGGTGGCCCCAGCTTTGCCCCTGGGGCCTGGAGCCCTCTTACAGGAGGACCTCACTCAGGCCAGGCCCTATCATCAGTCACTGTAAGTATTTGGCGGTGGGTGTCTTGGGTGTGGCCCACAAGCCCCTGCCCACCAGCTCTGGCAGCACAGAATCTCTGCCTAGTGGCACCGGACAAAACTGCACCAGAGCACAGGACCCAGGTGTCGTGGGATCTGCTTTCTCAGAGTCCAAAGTGGTCCACGCATCCTTGGGACGGAGCTTGAAAGAAATACTCAAAACTTTTCTCAAATCAGGAGTTAGCTACAAGGAAGAGTTAACTTCTCTTGCACAGACTCCAGCTTGCCAATCTGCATTTTTGTTTCAGAAGGAAAAAGGAAATTGCGCAGAAGGCAGCAGAGGAAAATGAGAGATACCGGAAGGAGATGGAACAGTGAGTGTCTCAGCTCCATGCGTCTGTGTGTGGACACGAGCGGGCTCTGAGGAGTATAGACAGCCAGAGGCAACCTTCGGGCCCGTCTGCCTGGTCCACTTGTCCCCTGGTGGATCCTCCTTCAGTTGTAGCCATTCCATAATCCTAGTAAATCCCATCCTGGTAGAGTAACCAGAACACAGACTTCCATAATTACACTCGATTTAGGATGCAAGTGCCAAGGACTCTATTGGCTTGCCCACAGCTGGAACCATGTGGCCTCTCCCCAGGCCGGCTGGGGTTTCTCTATCAGCAGAAGGTGGGCCCGTGAAGGGTCTGCCTCCAGTCACGAGTGTGGGGTCTTATTTCAGGATTATGGAGGAGGAAGAGAAGTTTCAGAAGCAGTGGGAAGAGGACTGGGGCTCGAAGGAACAGCTGCTCTCGCCTAAGACCCTCGCCACCGAGGTGCGCCCCGTGTCCCTTCGCAAGCCAAAGTGTACGTATCACGTGCTGGTGGGTGGGGGAGAGGACTTCCTTCTGGGGCCAGGGGCTCAGGGGTCCAGACAGAGAAGCTGGTCTCCTTTCACTCACCACCATTTTCCCAGTGAATAGCCCCATGGCTCTCCGAACTGCATTTCCTTCACGGATGGGCAGCCATGTGCCAGGGGCTGTCTGCCAGGCATTGGGCTGGGTGGGATCTGTCTGTCCTTGTCCTGGAGGCCTGCTGCCAGGCTCTCCCTCACAACTCAGACAGGGGCAGATGTGCCCTCCCCGTGCCCTTGGGCTACTGAAGAGAGATCGGGGACCTGCAGCAGAAGTGAGCTGCTTGTGGAATTTTCGTAGTTTGTTGGGTGTTATGTCTTCTTCCTGCCTGCTTCTGAATTGGGGCTGGGGCGAAACAGCAATGGGAAATAGGGCAAGGGGCTCATATTAGAGAAGACTCTTGAGGGGGGCTGTACAAGGTTGATGGGCAACTGTGGGAGGAGCTTACCTGAAGTGTCCCTACCACCCGAGTCCTGTGCGTGGACCCTGCGAGGTCTATGCTTGCTAGTGATGGAATCTGGACCCCCAGGCAACAAACTACAGCCATCCTGTGACCTCAACTCCCTCTGCCCTGATCTCCTTTCTTCATTTGCACTACGTTCTCAACTCCAGGCTTGGTCCAGGCCTCAACAACTGCTCTCCTTTCCACCTGCTCTCAACCCCAACTCCCAGGATGCCTCTTCAAGGGGGGCAGCTCACAGCACCAGGGCAACATGGGGGGAGTGGGCTCACACTTAGTGTTTCTTAAGTAGGCTTGTAGTGGGGAGCCAGGAGCAAGGCTGCTTGGGGCCCGTGGCAATCACAAGTCCAGGGGCCTCTTTGGGCCTTTACTCTCTTTAGCTATTTAGATCATCCTTGACAGGGCAGGCTCTACTCCAGCTGACTGTGCTCAGCTGACCTGGGAACCTCCAGAGGAGGAGTGAGTCTGTACCCAAGAGCCAAGGTTCCCCATTTCTGCTGTCCCCATCTGACAGCCACTTGGAGTCTTATGATGGGGCCTGGACAGCTCTGGCTCCAACTTTGAACCATGGCCACACCCTAGAGGGGCATCACCTTGGGCTGGTGAAGGTGTTCAGAGCACGTGGATGGTCCCCCTCACCTCTCCCTGGTGCATGGCAAACAGCTCCCACCCAGCACATTCCTTCCTGGCAGCAGGACACAGTGTCACCTCAGGGTCCTCTCTGAAGGACAAAGCAGGCGCTCATCAGCCTTCCCTCTGACACTCGCTATTAGTTGAGGATGTGGCCAGAGCTGAATTCCCAGTGAATAATCTGTTTTAGACAGGGAGTTAATTTGCTCTTAATGCGTGAAATAGGAGCTTCAGAAGGAGAGAGATCGATTTTAATTGCTTCTCATGAAAGTAACCCTAGTCAATTTAGTACCTTACTTGAAACTGGACTTGGCTACGGAGCAAACGCACCCTCTCAGGAACTATACAAAATAAAAACCCTTTCTCTAGCTAGCTATTTATTTAGTGCTTGAATCAAAGGAGTGAGAACTTCCCCTTTGTTCGAGACATAAATGTTTCTAAAGGAACGGCACAGGGCACGAGACTGATGAGCCCAGCCGGCCAGCCTGAGCTGGGGCCGCTGCTGCCTCCACCCGCCTCCACCCACTCCACGTGCTCCTGCAGTTTAATTCTTGTTTGGGGATGAGTCAGGAAATGCAGGGGGGCCTCGGAGCCAGCTCAGGTCCTGCCTTCCTCCGCATTCCTGGGAGGCCGGCATGGTCTCAGCTGTGTCGGCCCACAGGACCAGGCTGTGACCCTCCTGGACCACCCCTCGACTCAGGGGTCCAATCAGCCAACAGGTTGTGCCTGACTCAGCTGTCTGATGAGGGGTGGACCCTGCGTTTTTGAACGGTTAGTAAAGAGTGTGGAGCACCTCTTGCCCAGAAGATGAAGCCACTCATCATAATGATGTGAATGGGACAGACTGTTCCCCTCACTGCTACCCATCCCAGGGGCTCACCCTGCTGACCCACGGCCAACCCAGTAGAACCCCAATGTGGGGCCAGGCCCTCAAGTCCAGGACACATTGTCACAGAAGTCCCTAGAGAAAGTTCCTTGGCGAAACCAAGGAGGAAGGGGGGATTTTTGTTAAGGATTTCAGAGCTAGAAAAAGCCTGGAGTGAGGAAGAGGTTTACACAAGAGGTTTCCAGCCTCCTCCAGCCATTAAGCGCCATGTCAATTAGTCCCCACACCCCATAGACCACATGGTGTGGAAGTTGAGGTTCTCTCCCTACCACACTATGAAGTAGTCATCTGTGCCCCCAACTGTTTGATGAGGTAGTCATTCTTAATTGCAAGAAAGCATCAGTTTTCCACTGTTGAGTAACCACAAATCGGACAGAAAGCAAAGGCTCTTCATGTGAGCCTCTTCACAGATTATTGGGCAAGTTCTTCCAGTTAACACTTTGGAACATGAACAGACCACTCACAGCAGACTTACACGCCACCTTCCCCAGCCCAGAGAGGCCGGAGTCCGGGTCGGAAACCAGGGGAACGGACAGTTGGTTATTCTCCACATTATGTCAAAACGCAGGTCTTCCTGGCCACCTGCGCCCCTTTGCACTTAGGAATCCCCTCACCCCCTCAGGATCCCCAGGCCACCCACACAGCTCCAAAGGTGGTGAGAAGCCAGGACGATGTGTACTCCCATTGCAAGCCCTGGCACCAAACACGTATAACATGCAGACGTTCTCTGCCTCTGTGCCCCATCTCCCAAGTGTCGGCCAAATGCCACACAAAATTCTTCCCGCTCTGCTGCCAGATCAGGGGCCCCTGTTGTTAGTCCATCTTACAGACAGAGACACCAAAGCTACCAAAGTTGGAAGCACTGCATGCACCACCCCAGAGCAAGAAAGCTTTGCACTGGGCTCCTGAGCCCTGTTCCTGCCCCTGACCTCACAGCTCCCATAGAGGACACTCGTCCCAGGTCCCCAGGCTCCTGGGAAGTACCTGTCACCTCTGGGTCTCCTGAGTGCCTCTTGGTTCACCAGCTTCCTCCTGTTTTCCCGGGTAGATGATCAGGGAGTGGAGCCTGAACTTGAGCCTGCCGATGACCCGGATGGAGGCACGGAGAAGCAGGGAGAGGAGGTTTGCGGTCCCTGCTTTGCTTCCCAGCCTTGCTGCTCTGCTTACCCTCCCCCCCCCCGCCAGCTCTACAGATACCCACCTCTGGAGACCAGCCCCTGGTGGGAACCACTGGAGTCCATGACCAACCATGGCTTGGTCCAAGGACTACACCACAAAACCTTGAGAACAGGACTCACGGCCAGGCTGAAATGTCAGCTGGCAGACCTAAGTACAACTGAACTGCTGGCTGAAATATTTAAGTACTGCCCAAGGCCAAGTTCTTTCTCTGGCCTCTCTCCAGAACTCCCCAAGGTCTTCTCAAGATCCAGGAACTAGGGGGTAGTGCTTGGTCCAGCAAGAGGCTTTCAAGATTCTGTTCTAGAACCCAGGTTAGTCAAGAGTGGGTAGTTATTTAAGCCATCACCACCGGCCCAGGGAACTTTAGGATCGAGGTATTACCTAGTTCATGCTGCGGCCCGAGGGAGGCCGGGGTGGGGGGGTGCTGGTGTCCCTGTGGCCTGGCCTGGTTGGGGATCTGCTTTTCTGGAGGCCAGTCTCCTGCACACTGCTGCCCAAGCCGCCCTCCCCAGAGCTGACCCCAATCACTGCTCTCTCTTTCCACATTGAGACTGGAGGACATGGCCTGGACTGTGAGACAAGACTGTTTTGTTCTGTCCAACAGCAGTTCTAGGCAGAGGCCCAGGTTCCCTTTTGTCTCCAGCCATTTCTTGGATGGAGGGACCAGACATCGGTCAGGAAAAGCCTCCTTCTCTTTCAACGGGGCTTTGTGTTCTGCAGGCTGTGGCTATGATTTGGAAAAGCTCATCCTCCCACAAGGGGCTTTCTCTTTGGTTTTCCTGGCACTGACTTCTAAGGCCAGAGGTAGTTGACAAGGGTCCAGGGCCGGGCAATCAGGGCCTTTCTCAGGTGGTCTCAGGACTGCTTTATAGCCAGGGTGAGGCCAGGTAAGTGCAAGGTCAGGCAGAGAGCACAGTTTTGCTGTTGGACCCGCCGCTGTGCTGTGCTCAGTCTCACAAAGCACTGAGTTCCTCGAGAGCCCAGCTCCGGGCCTCTGCCCTCGCTGGACACACCGGCCAAGTGGACTGCGTCTCACGGCTCTGTTCTCTGTGTTGTTGCAGCCTTTGGGTGGTTCTATCGCTATGATGGCAAATTCCCAAGCATCCGGAAGGTAGGACAGGGCGGGTGCCGTGCCATGTGCCGCTGAGTTTGCCGTGGGTTTTGGCCTTTTCCACACGTTGTTTCTTTTCCCGTCACCTCTCCACAGTGTGACCGCCTGTTCACTTGAGGGGTAATCGTGTCCGCACCTCTGTGTCAGGCTGACCTCTAATGGCCGGGCACTGTCACAGAGGCATCATTGGGGCGTGGGGGAGTGTTCACAGGGCGAAACCTGCCCCGGCACCATCAGGCACTGCCTGGGTCAGCACCTGCCCCAGTGGGCACGGGGCATAGGGGCGGGGGCAGGGCAGGAAGCTGCTGCTTTATTTCTCTGTCAAGTAGAACCAGGGGCCAAGACCAGAAGCCAAGGTCAGACAGGGGGAAATGCCAGGTTGGGTGTTCCCAACTCGGATTGTGAGGCCAGCTGCCTCCGGTTGAGACAAAGAGCCACACAAATCATGCCCCTCCGTCAATGCCCCTCCGTAGAAACATCTCTGCGTGTGCCCAGGATAATGCGATTTTCTGATCTCTGGGGCCTTGGGTTTTTATCTCTAGATCTTATTACTGTATCTCCAGGCCGCATAAATCTTTCTCATCCTTTTTCTTTCTAAATCACTTTGGCATTTGATTATGAAAATGCTGCTGTTAATACCTATAGACTGGACATTCGAGATGACTTGGTATTTGGAATTCAGGCATCAGCATAAATCTGGGTGAACCAATTTGGGCGTTATCACTCAGCTGGCCCTTTCTGGCAGGATGTCTGGCCTCCGGAAGCAGGGCCCTGGCAGCAGAGTGACCTTGACAATAAGTAACTTCTCCCCTGCCTGTACAATGGGAATCTGCTATGCTAGAAGCATCTGCCGGCTCCCTCAACACAGGACTGTGAAGGGAGCAGACAGCCCTATCTATTATTCCTGACAGAGGTAGAGGTCTCTTCACCTAGGAGCGCAAGTTGTGATTTGCATGACACTGAATCGGCTCAGGCAGAGCCCCTCGGGGATTCCTTTCCAAGCCACCAGGGTCTCAGACAGGACCTGGTCTCCTGAAACTGCCCCTTTCATTCCATGGGCTGACTCTGGCTCAGCATGCCTCATTGGGTTAGACTTCGAATTCTTCCCTATATACTCTCTGGACCAGATTATAACTACACACACAGAGACAGGATTTTACTTGAAAAACTATTAAAGGAGGTGGATAGGTTAACTCCTTCCCAGACACTGATTAGTAGATAAAGGTAAAAGAGGCGGGTGCGTGTCTCCTTTGCACACACACTTCCTATCAGAGATCATGCTGCTTGAACAGTGCTGTTGGCAAAGGAGGCCTGGTTCATTAGTTCAGTCATCCCAGGAATAGCTGGTATTTCGATTTTCATTTCAGTTCTAAGAGAAAGAAAAATTGGCTTCTATGTAGCAGCAAGCACATGCCCACCCCATCAGCCTCTCCTTGTAGTTCAGAGTGAAAGGAACATTTGCCATGAATTTAACTGACAGCTAAAAGGACAGCAGAATCATGTTCCTCGTGCTGGCTCTGAAATCCATCCTCATTTTCTCTGGAGCAGCACTAGACACTGTGTATTGCAGGAGCTGGAACACCCAGTGCCCAGGTGATACAAGTGGCTGTCTGTGGCCATGACCATCAGTGAAGAAAATTCCCCTTATTTGAAATGCTAAAGACTCAATGTGTTCGATTGCTAACCTGGCAGTAATCCCCCTGGGCCTCAAAGATCCCAGGCCTATGGCCCCATGAAGTTTGTGCCAGGACCTGAGGGTTACAGCCCTGACCAGTAGCCCTGTCATCGGGGCTGCATGAGCACACAGACCAGCCCTACTTGCAGGAGCTTGCCGTCTGGCAGGGAGGCGGATTCACACGCAACTAAGTACCCATATAGAGTGGACTGTGGGGAGATCAGTGGACGGTGCTATGGGACTACTTGCTCTTTTGCATCAGAAAGAAGCCCGTACTGCTTTCTAGGAGATGGGACAGAAACTGTCACATGTGCCTGCCCCACCCTGGTGCCCTGGCTCTAAAATCTGAGTGCTGGTGGGTTTTTTAACAACAGAATGGCCATTCCCATCCTAGTGGTTCCTGCGGAGAACTAACCCCTTATTCTAGCAAGGTGCCATCACGCAGAATGTTTCCGGCTCCTCTTGGGGAATTGCCGTCTGAATCTATTACATGATAGAGGGATTCATCTATCAACTGAGCCAAGAGTCTAGACAACAGGGTAGACAAGGAGCCAAACAGGGCTCTGAAGCGAATAGAACCATTTTCTCAAGTGACTCATAGGCTGCTCCAGGAGTGAGCCCCATCCCTCAGATGGCGGGGGTGGGGCCATTTCCAAAGCACATTACAGGCACAGGGAAGCAGGAGGACAAATGTGGGCCTATAATGATACCCTAAGTCCTTCCAACTGTGGACACATTGTGTCCATTGCTGGTAAACTCAATTCTTCATTTCTGGCCTTTAACACTGAGACGACTCAGGAATTCTGAGAGCAGGCCCCGAGATGGCTTGTTGGAGTTGGGGTGAGCTCACAGGTGGGTTTCTCCTTCCGGCAGACATTTCCCAGAACGCTGACTCTCTCTGTGGCTCCTCCCCCAAGTGCTAGCTCTGTCCTCCTGGCCGAGTGTGATGGAGATGACCCTTCCTCCTGCCATGCTCCCGTGGCCCCCAGCTCATCTGAATGCAGTAGAAAACGTGTGGGACCTGGAAGACTCAGGTGCAAATCCTGCACCACCACTTGCTAGATGTTTGATGCTGGACAAAGACTTCCCCTCTCTGAGCCTCATCTCCTCCATCAAAAGAGTGGAGTAATGCCTACGTGTGAGATGATGTCATTTCCTTGACACCTAGGCAGTCCATAAATGGCAGAGAAGGTAGCTGTCTTCCTTCTTTACTCCTTGGCTTCTCCTCCACTCAGGAGAAGCAGCCAGGAAAGCAGGCTTTATGGATCCAATTCCAACAGGAAAAATAAGTCCTTTTGCCCTGCACCTCCCTCCCCAAGTCCTCTTGAACCCTGACAGCCAGTAAAAAGCAGGTAGGCCATTCTCTGTCCCCACCCCCAACCCCCAAGCCTATGGTTTCTGACTAATCCTCATGTCAGGGGCCCAGTTCAGAGACAGTGGTGGACGTGACAGGATGAAATGATCTGGAACCTAAGCATCGGGGCAAAATCTGATACGTTTGGCCCTGGGCTCCCAGGTCAAGGCTGGCTCCCGCCTCCTGTAGCTCAGGACAGAAGATCTCTACAACAGTGAGGCTTACCAGCTCTCCCTGGTTTTCTGTAGAATCTCCTAGGAGGCTTGTGTGGTATCTGAACATGAGCAGGTTTTCTCTCTGAATAATGGAGAAAGCATGTGCCCAGATACCAGGAAATAAATACCATGCCTTCTATTTACACAGTGCCGTAATGTTTATAAAGCTCTTTTATAGATGTTATTTCACTGGCTCTGGATATCAAGCTAATGGGGCAGGTATTTCTTCCATTTTGGAGATGAGGTGAATCAGGCCCAGAGATGTTAAGACACTTAGCCAGGGTCACACAGCTAGTTAGGAAACTAGCCCATTCTTCTGTCTGGCAAAGGGAATGTGTCTCCTACTGTGCCATGGGTAACAGCAGCTTGCTCGTCCTGCTCCTCATGTCCAATGCCCAGGGGCAGAGCTGGGGGAGGGGCTGGCGGAGGGGCGGTTGCCTGGTGTTGTCTGAAGACTGAATGCCCTGCTTGTGGTGCTGTGCCAGTGTCAACCCTGCCTTGTAACCCTTGTCGTGTAAAAAATGCCACATCTGCTCAGAGAGGAAAGGATAAGAAAGCCAAGTATGACAGCCTGCAGGAGTTGAGAAAGAATAAGAAGGAACTGGAGTTTGAGCAAAAGCTGTACAAAGAGAAGGAGGAAATGCTGGAAAAGGAAAAGCAGCTGAAGATCAACCGGCTGGCCCAGGAGGTACGTGTCCTGCTCACAGGCCCGGTTTGGTTGTCCCCCACCATGCTCCCAGGGACCTGGCTAGAGTCGTCCTCCCCAGATGGAGTCCAAAGGTGGCATGAGCCTTGCCCCCAACACCCCTTAGTCTAGAGAGTGAGATCTTCGCCCCCCAACCCGAGGTCATCCGAGACTAGCTTCTGATTTAGGTATACGTCTGGGATTGAGTCTGGCCTCCTTGCTCAGGTGTGAGTCTGAGGCTAACCTCCCTGCCCAGGTTGCAGGACTTTGGTTAGGCCTCCACACACCTGGCCAGAGGTTTGAGCTGTGCCCTCCAAACCCAACTGTACCAGAGTAAGAGTCCAAGACAGGGCCTCTCCGCCCCGGGTGTGGCTGTGAGTCTGAGGCTCACCCCTCTGCCAAGATGTAGATCTGAAGTTAGCCTTCCGCCCACCTGTCATTAGATCTGAATCAGCTGGGCCCCCCTACTCAGGTTATAAGTTCAAGACCGGGTTTCCCGAAGTGCCTTGGCTTGGAGAGTCAGGGTCTGAGGCTAACCCCGTCGTGCAGGCCAGCTGTCCCAGGCTAGGGGCCTGAGGCTCATCCCATCAGCATAGGGTGCGTCCGAGGCTAGGCCTCTTCAACCTGGGACTGCAGCTGAGGCCGCTCCCTCCAAAACAAGCCAAAAGCAGTCTCCCAGCACGAGGGGTTCCTATTTCCTAGGTGAGTCGGGGGACCTTCGCTCCCTAGCTATTCAAGAGACTATTGGTTCTGCTTTTCTTTAATGCTCCCATGAATCAGATTGCTAAACTGATTGCATTACAAAAACAGAGAAGCCCTGGGAAATGTGAAGTGTATTAGGTCTGGCAGTAGGAACAAATTAACTATGGAATTTAAGAATTGAACCTGTACTTCTGATGACAAGGCAGTCGGGAAGCTGGGAGGGCTTTGAATGTGCTAGAAGCCTACAGAAGGACTATTCTTGGAGAATCGTAAGAGCCTCGGGGTTTGCGGGGACCCTGGAGGCTGCTAAGCCCATGCAATGCATGAGCTCCTTCTCTCATTTTGCCTACAAGTAACTTTAGTGGACTCAGTACCTCAACACCCTCCCCCAAGCCCATTCCCCCACCTCTGGGCCCAAGTGAAACAAGCTTGGGTCTTTATCTAGACGGCTGACACTCCCAACAGGACTCTGGGGGAGGGGGGCTTGAGAAATGCTTTTGTGCTACTGGTTCGACTGGACTCCCACATGTGACTCTAGTGTGCCCTTTCTCCTCCCCTTTGTGTGGCGGCCTTGGGTCCCAGGTGTCCGAGACAGAGCGGGAAGACCTTGAGGAATCGGAAAAGATTCAGTATTGGGTGGAAAGGCTCTGTCAGACACGCCTTGAGCAGATTTCCTCTGCTGAGAATGAGATTTCTGAGGTAACAGAGCCCTTCTTTCTATACATAGCCCCTCCTGCTGTCTTCAGAATGACCCACCCTGGGGACAGCGAGAGGCAGGATGGCCACTGTCCAGGGCCACCCCAACCAGCTCACTTCCCTTCCTCTCTTGAGGAAGGGAAACATAACTGTTTCTCTGGGCTTATCTCCACAGTGATCAGTAAGTCCCAGCTTCTCTGAGATGGTCCCAGTTAGGGTGTAATTACTAAGAGTGCCATGTTCACTGTCAAGTGTGTTCCAATTTAGATGGTAAATTGTATGGTCACCTTACTTATCACCCACTTATGGCATAACTTGGGATCTGCTTGCATTTGGGCATTCCTTACCAGCTGCCTGGCATGAGCTCACGTGGCAGAGAAGTGACACCCCGTGGCTCTGGTGTGAGGGTGGCGGGTCTCCAGCAGTAAGGGAAACAGAAGAGCCTTGCACTCAGTGCACTGGCAAGTGGAGCACTAGCCAGATGATTACAGAACTCCTTTGCAACCCCCAGATGACCACAGGGCCCCCGCCTCCCCCGTCTTCTATGTCTCCCCTGGCCCCACCCTTGAGACGCTTCGCAGGCGGGCTGCACCTCCACACCACTGACCTGGATGACATCCCTTTGGACATGTTCTACTATCCCCCCAAGATCCCCTCTGCCCTGCCCGTGATGCCCCACCCTCCGCCCTCCAACCCACCCTCCAAGGTCCCCGCGCCCCCTATCCTCCAGTCGTCAGGCCATGCGAGTGCCTCGCCCTCATCCTGGGTGCAACACACCCCGCCCCCCATTCCCATCCCTCCCCCACCATCTATTCCCACCCACGACCTCACTCCTACCCGCCCCCTGCCCTCTGCACTGGAAGAGGCCCTGGGCAACCGCCCCTTCCGCGCTGGGGATGTAGGCAGTCCTACAGAGGACTGGGAGGCCAAGAACCACAGCGGGAAGCCCGCCAATTCTCCTGTCCCTGAACGGAGCTTCCCAGCCACCCCAAAGGTACTGTCCTGTTCTGCATGCTACGCTGGGGAGCAGGAAGAGTGAGTGGGCAGGGCTGCTATTTCCCATGTCCTCCTCTCCTCCTGTGAGTGGAGCTGGGGGAAATATCACCCACCCCATTTTCCAGGCATGAGCCCCCCAACCTGCATGTGGTGGACAGCCGGCATGTGTGTGGTCTCCGCTGACTTTGAAGTGCTGTGTTGTGTGGTGCGTCGCCTGTGGTGCGGGATGAGCACGAGGTTCGTTGCCCTCTCTTCCTCTGGGCTAGTGTGGGCTGGTGACATTCAGTGTAGAACTTGGAAGGCTGTGTTGAACGGCCAGACCTCTGTGTCACAGCTACTCATTTCTTGATATGATACTGGCCTAGAAAGCCTTGAGTGTGGGAGATGAACTCCCAGTTTAACAGGGAAGCAGGGCGTGCAGGGGAGCCACGTGGAGCTGTGTAAATGAAGTAACGGCACCGTCCGATGCAGCGGGAGGACTTTGCAGCGCCGTTTTCTATGGAGCCGACCGACTGTGTTGGCTTGACGTGTGATACCCAGACGCGTCTGGCCGTCTTCCAGCTACAGAAAAGAGGAAGATGGAGAATTCCTGGAAATCTCCAAATTTACTCTTAAAAGACTAGGAAGCTTTTTTTTTTTGGATGTCAGGAAGCTGAATAGTGATCTTCTAAAAAAAGACCTATTTCTTATTTATTGTTCATAATCCAAAGGCTATACTGGAAGAGGTAATCCTTAAGGAAGGCATGGAGCTTTGACCCCAGGGAAGGAAAAACGGACTGTTCCTCTGCCCCAGCAGCTGCAGGGCCAGGCTGAGTCAGCGGCGGCGAGGGGTGGACGGTAGGCAGCACTACCTGATCCGTAGCTTTCCCAAACCTTCCCTGCATGGACCTGAGTCTCTGCACGGAGAGCAGGAGGAGCACCTCAGAGCGTCCAGGAGAGCTTGGGGGAAGGAGGGCGAGAGTGGGAAAGTACCACAAGCAGACAGGGCTGCAGCTCTCAGCGGGGGACTCTGCGGGGGGCTCCCTCTGAACCTCTGGGGGAGGCCCAACCCCTGCAGCTCTGACAGACTGACTGTTCCAGGGACGACTTCCCCAGAGCTCGGCCAGGACCAGGTTTGCAGGGGCTGAATTAGCCTGGCCCAGAGGGCCACATCCTCATTGTGAGTGGTCCCCACCGAGTCGGCAGCAGCTTTGCCTCGGGAATTTGATTCAGGATTCATTGACTGGCTGCCTTGTGCCTCTGGGTGTGAAAGGGGGCAGCACTGAAAAAGACACTGAGGAGGCTGGCCCACCTGTGCTCTCTGGGACTTTGCCACCTGAAGGATGAGTGGCTGACCAGGCAGGATTCAGCTATAAAGTCAGCATAGGTCAGGTGTCGTTGTGGGAGAGACCCCTTCTAATGGGAGGTTGCAGGCACCTCTGTAGAGTAACCGGCTTTTAGAGCTGAGCCTTGAGGGGCAGCCACACATGGAGGAGGGGAGGAAGGGCATTGCAGGAGCAGGAACATGAAGATGGCAAATAAGAAGTGCCTGGACTTGAATCATGGCTCGGCCGCAGACTGGGTGACGTTGAAAGTGTGTTACGGCATCAGTCTGAGCCTGGGTACCCTCATTCATGAAACGGAGATGCTAATGGCGCCCGCCTGTTATGAGGATCATATGAGGTCACACATAAACTTACTCTAAATGAGTACTTAGGAGTGTGGCAGGCTCACAGTAAGTGCTCAGTACAAGTTAACTGTGATCAGCAACAAATCAGGGCACAAGGAAATCTGCACGAAGCTGCAAACTGAGATTGGAGGTAAACTCTGCCAACTTTTGAGTCAGGGTCAAGGTTCAAAACAGGACCCAGCTTTCTCAGAATGATCCAGGAGCCATGAAGTTCCCACTGTTAGTTCCTGATCAGAGCACAGGGAAGGTTGAAAGCTCCCCAACACAAGAAGTCTCTGAAAAACGGGGCGCCATAAGCAACATCTAAGCCAGGGTTGTCCCTGACTCGAAGGCCAGGGGCTACTGTTTTGCCAGTTAGCACATTGGCCTGTGGTACCCAGCCCTGCCCAGCCTCCTCCCTGCAGGCTCCAGGCCAGTTGTCATCAGTACTGATCACACATCTGCACTGCCAACCCAGCCACCAGCAGGTCTCAGGTGCTGGGGAAAAAAACCTGTGTCAGTGTGTGTACCTGTCTCATCAGCACCTGTCAGGGGAAGGTTTTCAGGGCTGTATCTACCCCCAGGCACTGTCCCATGTGCCTGCCATACTATTGTCACCCTTTGATTTATGCAACATGTTTAGTGAGCGACTACTATATGCCAGACATGATGCTGGGCACTGAGCACCACCACAAAATAGACATCTCAGTCCCTGCCCGAGTCAGTCTGGTGGGAAGACAGACAAGCAGGGAACCACCACACTGCCAGAGGGGGATGGATACTGCAATGAGTGGTGGGGGCGGAGAGGAAAAGCTAAAGGAACGCTTCCTGAAGGCCATGATACCTAAGCCAACACCTGGGCGGGTAAAGCAGGAGGAAAGAGCTTGTGCAAAAACCTTGAGGCAAGAATTCCAGGCATTTTGGAGGCTAAAGTTAGGCACTGTGGGGAGGGCAAGAAGGAGTAAGGGATGAATGTAAACAGAGATAGAGAAGCTCATGCAGGACCTTGGCTTCAAGTCAAGGAGCTCAGTAGTCAGTGGGGACCCATCAAGGGTCTGGGGCAGGATTGTGACCCAACTTGATTTATCTTGCCCTCTTGATTAAGTGGGTTAGAGCAAAGCAGACGGTGCATCGGCTCTCCTGGGTGCCTCCCTTACTGGTCCCCACCCCCAGCCTCCAGAGACTATGTGCCCACCCACCAGGAATAGCAGATGCTTCTGTGAGTCTGGGGACTGGAACCGTAGCCAGGCAAGAAGACCCTTAGGGAGAGAGGAGGCTGAAGGGCATCCAAGGCCACTGAGAGAAAGCCTTGAAAGTCTACCCTTTGAGTGACAGTGGCTGCTGGTGACCCCATAATCAGGCTCAAGTCCTGATTCCTTATAGCCCCATAGTTTCTTTGACTTCAGGGCACACTGTGGCCAGTAGATTTCTTGTCCCTCTGCTGAAGATCATGCCCCTGGGACCTCTGGCAGAGTGAACGGACCAGGCTGGCTCAGCATGTCCATGGTGTGATTTTGCATGTGTGTTGGAGTGCCACAGTGGGCCTGGGCCACCCACCATGACCTCACATGGGTCTCTCTCTTAAACGAACCCCTGTAGACATTTTGCCCAAGCCCACAGCCTCCACGAGGCCCTGGCGTGTCCACCATCTCCAAGCCCGTCATGGTCCACCAGGAGCCCAACTTCATCTACAGGCCAGCTGTGAAATCCGAGGTGCTGGTAAGCCACTCAGGTCCCCTGCAGGGCATCTCCAGAGGAGCCGACCGGGGCTGTCTCCCCCGGGTTCTGCTGGAGGGAGAGTGAGGTAGGACACAAACTCACAACGGGTGCCACCTCCTAACCTTCTCATTGGCCATGAGATGAACGAATCCACACGGTGTGGGTGGCGTGGACACGACCAGCGAGATTCCTGTTCCTCACTTGCCCAAACAGGCTTATCGTGAGCCTGCATGTGTCTTGCTCTGCCAGGTCTCATTTAACCCTCATAACAATTCCAGTAGGTGGTACCTGCTGTGATCCCTGTTTCGCACTTGAGAAACCCGAAGCTTAGGGAGGGTAAGTTGGGGGCCCAAGGCAAAGCCAGGACTTCCTACTTACTCCAGAGTCACTCACCTGTGTTGTCATCCTGCCAAAACTTAGAGTGAGTCCACTTGCTCAGGCCTCTGCCCCCAAAGTCCCCCATGGCAGGGCGTGGCATGGACCACCCTCAGATGGGGAACCGGCCGAAGCCCATCCACTGCCCTTCTTCATTTCATGTCTCACTCCCCGCTGGGACTGGGAGTGTGAGGTGTGGTCCTGGGCAGAGGGGAGGTCTGCCCACCCTCAGTCACCTGCAAGCTGAGTGAGCTGGGGCTCATGCGCACCCCGTTCCGGGGGCACCAGCCGCTAGCTGCTAGAAGGCCTCCCACCCTTGGCAGGAAGAGTCGTGCCAGAGTTCTAATTCTCCTTTCAAGGAAACCCTATCCAAATGTCAGGGCAGCGCAGCGTGGAAACTTATATGGAGACTCAGCTGTCTTGTCAGCTCCGCAAAGAGCCAAGTTCATGCTCCTGTGACAGTCTGCTGGGGCATCTGTGTCACATTCTCTGGCTAATGACAAGGGAAGGGACGTGCTTGCCTAGAAATGGGAGGCTGCTGTGTCTGGGGTGGTAGTGTGGGCCAGAACAGAAATCAGGCTGCGTCTGTCTGGGGAGGGATGTCGGTAGGGCAGCCCCAGGCTGGCAGGCCCAGGGCTTGGCACCAGGGGGCAGGCGAGAGCCGTTGGTAACATCCAGCATGAATTTTTTTTTTCTGGCAGCCACAGGAGATGTTGAAGAGGATGGTGGTTTATCAGACAGCGTTCAGACAAGTAAAATGATACCCGTCGTGTGTCTGTGGCCCTCCCTGCCACCCTCTGTGCCTCCCACTTTGACTTCTCTCTCTGGGAGCACTGGTTGACCCTCGGGTGGCCCCAAGTGCCATCTGCTAAGAGCCTCAGGCCAGAGCTGTGTCCCCATGACCACAGCCATGGGCTGGGGAAGCTCGAGTATCAAGGGGCTTGTTGAACCCCATGCGGGGTGTCTGGGGACTTGACCCTTTGGCTGCTGGTTAATCAAAGAGGAACAGGGCAGAGAGAACCCTCAGAGGGTCCCAGAGAGGCCTCGTTCCAGCCCTAGGTACCTGAGGTTTCTCCCTGCCTCTTCCCCTGTCTTGTTCCCTCAAGGCGGAGCACAGCTTCACACCAACCCCACCTGGTACTGAGCCAACACCAAGGGGGAAGTGGTGGCCCAGGTCCTCCATCTGCCCAGGGTGCTCCTGTGCACAGGGTTGCAGAAGTCCTGGCTAGTCCAAGAGTGGTGTCAGGAAGGCACGCAGCCACTTATCATCCCCATCTCCTGGGGCTTTCACCCACAGAACCAGCCATCAGATCGGCTGCCTCACCACCATGAAAGAGACTCCCAGATGGAGGGAGATCTTGCAGCCAGCCTCCTCACTGATAACCCACCACCCAACCGCAGACTAACATGACTACAGGCGGGGAGCTAAGGGGAGGTGTCAGCTGCACAGTGAGACATGGGGGGTCTGCAGAGGAGGCTGCTGCCAGGCCGAGACCGGGCAGTGATGGGCGGTAGCTAACAGAAGGTGTGCTGCATCAAGCCCCGTTTCTGTATTAACTCATGCAGACTTTACAACAACTTAGGAATTAAGTGCCAGTATCACCCACCTTATAGATGAGAAACAGAAGCAGAGAGATTAGGAAACACGTCTATGAGGCCACAGCTAGCGTCAGACCCCGTATTCTAACCCAGGGGGTCAGGTTCCTGGATGCTATACCATTCTGCTTCTCAAAGCACCGTGATTGTAAAACAGACATTTAAGGGCCGTGTTGCATGTGGGTCTCCATGGGCGAGAGGCAGGAAGGTGAGAAGTCCGAGGGCCGGACTGGGACTCCAACATTTGCTCCACTGCCCGCTGACCGGGTCACCTTGGGCATGAATGTCACCTCTCTGGGCCTCAGTTTCTCCATCTGTCGGATAAAGGGTTGGGCTCCCTCTTCAAGGGCTGACCACCTATCATGGCTTATAAGTCTCTGATGTAAATTTACACAAGACGCATCCCTGAGATGCAGCTCCAGTCCCTCCCTGAGAGCACTGTCAGGGGGAAGATTCTCAGGCCCATGGCCAGCACTGCCCAGTGTGCAGCAGGGACAGCTGGGGGGCGGGGCAGGGCCCTCGATGAAAGAGCATTGACTCCATATCCTGCCTAATAATCTTTCTTGCCCATGGATTTGCTGCATCCTTTCTATCTGCGGCCCTGATACCCACGGACCGGCCTGGGGGGTCTCCCTGGCTTTTGGGGGTTGAACCAGTGTGACGAAGACTAGTGAGGAGGACAGACAGATGCCCAGAGATCCATCTGCTGCTATTTGGCCCTCGTGTTGCACCCGGAGCTCGGCTGCTGCACATGGCCTCCCCGTGGTGCTGACCGCGGGCCCCAGGGGACATTCGTTGTGGTTTAGCGAACTGTGTGCTAGGGGCTGGCTCCACTCAGTCTGGCCAGGCTGCTCCTTCGCTGCCACCCTCCTGTGGGGACTCACGGAGACTTTGCTGCTCTCGAGCTCGGTGTGCCTGTCCCCTCAGCCTGTGGCCCCTGGACTTCTGCTCTCTGTGTGACTCCTGGGAGAGTTCTGGCCCTCCCTCTCTCCCTTCTCACTGCCTTGTTTCTACATGTTGGGGGTATTATTCCCACAGCCCCCACCAAGCCGGGTCCCCTGAACTGCATGTCCTCCCTCCTCCTCCCCTGGGTAAGGCTCTGGGGAGGCCCCCAGTCTTCTGGGTGAGATTTGTATTGAGAACAGCACTGGACATGGGCAAACACAGACGTCCCGCTTTCCCTCTGGGTGCCTGACCTCCCCTTGCCCCCTACCCCCCATCATCCTGTGGCCGATTCCCAACAAGAGCAGTCTCTTGAGTATTGTTGGTCCTTTGGGATCAGAGCCCTGGGTGGAGAAAAGCTGGGCTTCTTCCCCCAGAGCCTGGACCTGGCCTCGCAGGGCACTCTGGCTACCCCGGCCAGCCAGAGATGCTCGCCCGGCTGGGACAGTGCGTGGTCCAGAGCCAGGGTTCCTCCAGCACTTCCCACAGCTTTCTGCTTCTCCCTGGGCAGGGGTGCTCTGGCTGCTGGGGCCGCCAGCCTCCTCCCTGCACACCCCATCCAGGCCACACCTGACCCCTCCCTCTCTCCCCTACCTCTAAGCTGCCCACCATTGTCTTCCTCTGCCCCAAGCTTGATTCCTGCAGTGACCCTCAGGGGCCTCTGATCTGTTGCCCTAACACTCTCCTTTGCTTCCAGGATTTCCGGAAATATGAGGAAGGCTTTGATCCCTACTCCATGGTGAGAGAGAACTCTCCTGCCCTGGGGGGGGGGGGGCGCGCCGCAGGCACCCCAGCAACTGTGGTTGAGGGTTATAATATGCTCAGTGGTGGTATATTATGGGCCCTGGGGGGCCCAGGGATGGGGTGGGGCATATGAGGGGCCCCAAGGAGGCCCTCACGGCTCCTTCCTGTGAAGGATCCTTTCAAAGGGCATCCCAGTGTGATGGGGGGAGGGGGTGGTGTGGTTTATAACAAGTTACACTTACTGAGCACCAACTACCGACCAGGTGCTTCGCTGTGTGTTGACAGGCCCTCACCAGTCTCACAATACACCCAGGAAGAGTGGGTCCGGGGTTTGTGGGTGTGCCCTCGGGTCCCCCATGGGCTCTAGGCCCCCCGTTGAAGACTGCTGGCACCGGGGTTGGGAAAGGTCCCCTTGTCCATGTGTCTGTGGGGCCCAGTGTTCCACAGGTGCCTGGCTTCCCCTCCTACCCCCGTCCCGCCCTCATCTTTCAGGCCGACTCAACTGCCCCCCTGTCTTTTCCCTCTAGTTCACCCCAGAGCAGATCTTAGGGAAGGATGTCCGGCTCCTGCGCATTAAGAAGGTACCTGGGTACTTGAAGGTTGGGTAGCCACCCCCATCTCTGCTCCTGTCCCCTCCCATCTTGGTCCCCTCTGTCTCCTAGTCTGAAGAGAGTCCTGGGTGACCCCCAGATCCTCACTGTTCTCCTCCCTCCCCCCGAAGACGCCCTTCCCTGTGGTGAGACCCCACGCCCAGGCCCTCTCTTTCTCCCTTACGGCCCCGCCATTGGCCCCACGACTTCTCCTGCCCTCTGTGTCGCCCTGTCAAGAGCCTCAGTGGCGCCCAGGTGCCCACAGGCTGATGTCTGCTCGGCTCCCTGAGGCCTGTTTGCCTCTCACCAGGAGGGAGCCTTGGACCTGGCCTTGGAAGGCGGCGTGGACTCTCCGATCGGCAAGGTGGTCGTCTCGGCTGTTTACGAGGGGGGCGCTGCTGAGCGGCATGGTGAGTGGGGGCGGCCGTGTCCCAGTGTGGGGACGGTGTGGTGGTTATGCAGGGCTCTGCAGGAAAGCCAACAGCCGTGCGCTGGGGCTGGGTTGGCGGTTGCTCAAGAATGCCCCTCCAGTTCATCCATCCGCCCAGTGCCACATGTCGCCTGTGGGCGCACAGTGGTGCCAGGCCTGCGGATTCACAGCCAAACCAGATGCTACCCTGTCCTCCAGGGCCTCCCCATCTAGCAGTGAAAACAATGACAGTGTGGTCTGCAGGGGGATGACAAAGGACTAAGGTGGCGGGTGGGGAAGCTGTGGGAACTCTGAGGGGCCCCAACCCTCCAAGGAAAAGGGAGCCCCTGGGAAGGCTCCTTCCTTCCTAGAAAGGTGATGCCTAAGCTGAGCCTTAAAAGATAAGTCAATGTTACCCCCTGAAGATGGGAAAGAGCTTTCCAGGAAGAGGGGACAGCACATAGACCAGCAGGAGACAAGCCATCAAAACCTGACCCGTCCTTCTAATAACGATAAAAAACAACAGCGTGCCAGGTGCTGTTCGGGGCTCCCAGCGCACCACCCTGTGTCTCAGTCATTTGTGTGTATCAGCTCATTTAATCCTTACAACAGCCGAAAGGAGGCACTGCTATTCTCATTTTACAGCTGAGGAAACTGAGGCACAGGAAGGTTTAAGTACTTGTTCCAGAACCCACAGCCAGCAAGCAGTGGAGGCAGGCCTTGAACCCAAGCAGCTTGATCCTGTGGCTTTACTGTCTAGCACAAGTGCCACCCCTGCCCGGGGCCTGCCCCCTCCCAGAGGGGCAGGGAGCCCCCTCCCAGCCTGTGTCGGTCTGTGGCATGGTCTTCTTGCTTTGCCTTTATCCCTCATCCACAGAAACCCTCATGCTGATGAGGGAAGCCTTAGCGGCCCCCAGCCACAGACCCTCGAGGCAAACTATCAACCCACTCACCTGTCAGACAGCATCTGACACCTCGCCATCGGTGACTTCTTCTCCCAAGTCCAGCAGGCTCTTCAGGCCTCCCAGGTCTTTGTATGGGCGTCCTCAAAGGAGCAGGCCTGGGCCCTGGTCTTTCTGGGCCACTGCAGGAGTCCTTTCATTGGACCCCTCCTGGGCAGTCTAGGCCGGGGTCAGGCTCTACCCCAAGCCCCAGGTGGCAGAATGGTGGGTGGGTAAGGACATGATGGAGGAGTGGCTCTATGGGAAAGTCATCTGGTCTCCGGTAGCCAGGCTTATGTGGGGTACTGTGGGGTACTGAGGTCTTGCCCAGGAGGGGGTTGCTCAGCTAGGGAGCTGCCATGGCCCACCACAGCCTGCCCTGCCCACACCCTTTTCCTCCGTCTTATTTCTGTGCCAGCTGAGGGGTGGGTTGATGCTCAGCCAAGAGAGCCCCGTTTGCCATGTCGAGCAGGGAAAGAGGACCAGGATGGATGGTTGACTTTTCCTGGCCCTCCCCGACCTTGCAAAGCCCCATCCCAGCCAGCGCCTTATTGGACCTTAGGCTCCACCATGGGTTTGTACAAAATGAGAAGGTGAAAGTCCCCTCTCCCCAGGCGGACTATACTGTACACAGGGAACTGCTGTGACGCTTTGGTCCCACACTGCTCTGGACAGGCAAGCAGCTGGGAGGAGTTTCCCCAGGAGCGCAGGTGTTGGGGCCACCACCTTCAGTAGCACATGCCCCATTCTGAGGGGCCTTCATGCCCCTCATGCCCCGCAATGCTGCTTCTGGGTGATCTGATTCAACAAAGCCAGAGAGCATTCAGTGAACACCAGGACTGTGGTGGTGGGGTGAGTTTCCAAGTTGACAATGTGCAGGAAACCACTCACAAGCTCCCCGCAGCTTGGAAACCCACATACACACTAGCATATTTTGTGTTCTGACAGTCCTGCAGTGAATAACTGTTTAGCTTAGAACTCGGCTTTGCCCAGATTTATTAGATCATAGGCCATCTCTTCCATGAACACCTCCAACCATCATTCATTAGTTCAGGAAGTAGCTGTTCAATTCCTATTTTGTGTTGGGGATAAGGGTCAATCTTGTCCTCTCTTTGTGGCTTGTGGAAGAGATGGACCATCAGTCAACAGACATGTGATTACAAATTGTGAAATAAACTATTCAGGAAAAGACCAGGATGCTGCAAGAGAATGAAAAGGGAGATCTGCTTCAGAGCAAGTGTGTGTGGGGAGGGGGTGCAGGGTGCGGGTAGAGAAGACGTCTTTGGGGAGAAGACGTTTCATCGCAGATGCAGATGAGAACACAGAGAGAGGGGACAAGTGTCCCAGAGGGAACAGCATGTGAGGCAGGAAAGAACGCGACCTGCTCGAGGTCCTGAAGCCAGCCAGCAGGGCTGGAGGGCAGAGAGGATGGCCCACAAAACTAGCTCCTGTTTTTAGTAAACCTTCCAGGAATGCAGGTCTGCCTCCCTCTGAGACAGCAGAGGCCCCTGGAAGAGATTCGCCCCTGCTGTCCTCGGCTGCCAGCGGGGTGAGGGCGGGCGGATGGTGTGGGAATGAAGTGCCCGTTGAGTAACCTGGTGGACGGTTGCCCCTCGTGCTTTCTGTCCCATGTGAGTTTTCAGAGCCCAGGAATCAGGCTCCTTCTGCAGCTCAACAGTGACCTAGTGGGCCAGGCACATGTCACTTATGGCCCAGTTGCCAGTCAGCCTCATCTCCCTGCAGGTGGGATTGTGAAAGGAGACGAGGTCATGGCCATCAATGGCAAGATTGTGACGGACTACACCCTGGCTGAGGCTGAGGCTGCCCTGCAGAAGGCCTGGAATCAGGGGGTAAGACCGAACCCCCTCCCTGCCCCCCTCCCTTGTCTGCTGGCCTTATAACGTGGCCTCTGCAGCCAGGCCTTACAGTTGGGGTGCCCCATCCCAGGGCTGGTATCCAGAGTCCCAGTAACTCTTGAGTGACACCCACACAGCCCCACACAGCCAGTGGTCTCAATCTGATGATGTGGGATTCAGAAAAATAAATGCCAGTTCCTCATCTTGAATCCAAAATGCAAATGGCACAGACTCCTGATGACCAGTTGTGGCAACCCACCCAAGAAAAAAACTTAAGGTCTTCTCTAAGTGCACACTGACCAGGAAGCAAGAGAGTGCTTGGGGCCCTTTAATGCGGGCCATTAACGGAAGCGGAGGGCCCGCAGTGGAGGAGGGGCTGCTGGTAGTCTGTTCTCTGCCCATCAGATAGATACCCACCTGGGTCAGGGCTGCCACATGAGATCTCCCGGGCTGTGCACTGCACAATCCGATGGGGTGCCCTCCTACCGACACGGTGTGAATGGTACCTGCTCATGTTGTGCAATGCACAACCTGTGCAACTGTATGCAGGCGGCCGAGCCTGAGGTATTAAGTTCAGAGCCGAGGAAGCTGACCAGATGGGACTGGGACCCACATTCAGGGCTGTGGACAAGAGAAGACTTACGGGTAACATGATGACTGTCTTTGATTATCTGAAGGGCTGCTTTAGGGTAGAGGGAGCAGAAGTGTTCTTGGTGGTCCTTGAGAGCAGAAGTAGACTGGATGGAGGGAGGTCCTGGGAAGAGGTTTCAGGTCAATATTAGGAGCTACTACATGGTAGAAAGGCCCAGTGATAGTTCGCATACCTTTTATTGGATGTACCCAACCCAAGGATGGATAGTGATGGATAAGCCAAGGATGGCAGTGACCCACTGAGAAGATAAATATACTAGGATCAGAAAGCTAGGCCTATAATTTTCTAATTGGCTGTGTGCATCAGAATGACCCAGGGACCTTGTTAAAAATACTGTTTCCCAGGACCTACCCCAGATTTCCAGGGGCAAGTCCATGCGTCTAGAGTTTTAAGAAATCCCCCCTGTGATCCTGAGGCTGCTGCCTAGCCCTGGTCCACAAATCAGTATTTGGGAGCTTAGTGTCATTCAGGGACCTGGCCACCCTGGCTGGCCTCTCTGGTTCTGAAGCCTGAGACTGGAAGCTTCCCCAGATCATAGGATTGCACAGTGAGGCCCATCCTACCAGGGGGTCCTCCAGCTCCACTGGGGTCTGCCTTCCCATGGGAAGAAGGTCCCAGCCAGCCGATGCTGGCCTCTGGTGCCCAGGAACAGGAATAGAGTGTCAGGGACAGACGCCATCGATACCTGAGCGTGCCCCAGAGTCACACGCCTTCTCCCCACAGGACTGGATCGACCTTGTTATTGCTGTCTCCCCCGTGAAGGAGTACGATGATGAGCTGTAAGTGTGCGTGGGAGCCTGGCCCGCCACCTCCCCTGTCTTCTCACCCTCCAGAATCTTGGCTGCCTTCTGCCAGCCCACTTCCAGCCTCCATCCGGCCTGAAGGAACTGTCCGAGCTCACAGCTTCTAGTAGTAATTGCTCCTCAAAAGCACCTGAGCTAGAGAAAGCCTAGAACTAGGTCACTGTCCTGAAGCGTTGTCAGAGCTGCCTCCAACACTGTCTTGTCCAAATTCTTCTTTATATATGGAAAACTAAGGCCCAGAGAAGTTAAAGCCTCAGCCCAAGTAAACAGTGAGGTTGGTACGAAGCCTCAGGACTTCTGATTCCCCACTCAGAACTTCATCCCCATGCACGGTCATCAGCTAGCTTAAAGTTTCTGTCTTTTACTCTCTGCAAGGTCTGCTGGATAGGTAACTGCATTCCCTCTTGCTGAGCCTCTAAGCTGCTAGGACCATGGGCTTCAGGCCCACTTGCAGGATAGCTTTGGCCCAGTCTCCGTCTTTCTCTGCGATTCTCTGTGTCTGTTTCTCTCTGTTCCATCCCTGTCTCTGTAACTGTGTGGGTCCCTGTCTCATTCTCTCTGTCTCCCTGTCACTTTCTGCTCCTTCCTCCCCACAACCTCTCCCTTCCTGGCAATCTCTCTCCCATCTGCATCTCTCTTTCCCCTTCATCCTTCTTCCCTTCAGCTCCTTCTTTCTTGCCCTCTCCTTTGCTTGCATCTCTCTGGCTCTGGGTCTCCGCATCATTTTTACTCTCTGCCTTTCTCTGTCTCCATCTTTGTCTCTCTCGGCCTCTGTGGTATCCGACCTCCATCCTCATCTCACCACATCTCCTCCCTGCCCCTCCGCTTGCCAGGCATGGCTGTACCTGCTTGCTCCCCGTGCATAGCAGAGGCTGAGTTCTTTGCACATCTTGGAAACATCAAGGTCATGTAGCAACTAATTCTAGAACTCAGGGCCTAGGAAGAAGCCAGTTGAAGGGAGCGGCCCAGTGGAGCTCTGCCTGGGAATAACCGAGCCCTGTTTTGTTTCCTGCTCTGCTCTGCGTATGTAGCTCTTCTCTTCCCTCCTCTGCAGCCGAAAGCCCCCAGCCGGTCCGAAAGCTCCTTGAAGACCGTGCTCCCGTGCTTAGGCACGGGTTCTTCCTGCAGCTGGAGCCTGGCAGCCCCCCACGGTGAATAGGCAGGCGGGCTGCAGGGCCCCGTCTGTCCATGCTGCGTGTAGTGGCCGTCTGTGGTGGCCCATGCCATCAGCAGGTTCTTTGGACTGGTGTCTGGAGGGGTGCACATCTCTGAAGTGCCACCCGGGTCTGCTGCTGGCCGCACTGGGATTCTGTCAGACTCAAAGGCCCTCCCACTCATGGGAGTTACGCAGAGCCCACTTTGTAGCACGCTTGGGACCTGGGCACCCTGACTCCCCACAGCCCTTGGGACCGGCCCCGGGTCTCACACAGCACACTAATGAGCAGGATGGAGCCGTGAGCACCATTCTCTGCTGGGCACCGCCAGTGCTTCGAACCAGGCAGGATGGGCTGGGAGAGCGCAAGGGAGCACAGCCTGGATTTCCCCTTCCCTGGGGGCACCGCCTCCTGGGAGCCTTGCTCCACCACGCCCCATGTGTGGACAGAGTCAGGGCAATTAAGGGGCACTTAAGGCTGGTCCAAAGAACCAGGGTTGGCCTGTTGGGGTTGTTCGTGTCCTGTTGTGACCTGTCATGGCCTGAGCCCTGCTCGGACCAAACTGTCCTCTGTGCCTTCTCTCTCCCTTGGCTCCAGATTCTTATCTGTGGGACACTGTGGAGCTCAGCTATGGGGTGTTTCCCACCCTGTGACAGGGCTGTGCTCGTGGACAGAGCTGGCAGGCTCCTGGGAAACTGGCGTTGGGTGTGGCCTCAGCTCACAGCTGGCAGCACCTAGGGCAGACCCACGCTTGGACTTCCTGACTTTTCCTATCACAAGTTCCTCAAAACATAAGGGCCTCATGCTTCCAAGACAGTAGGCCTACTATGCTATCATTTCTGGGTTGGCCTCAATGGCCCTATGTTTTCTGTCACTTGTCATCTGCTCTTTGTGAGGGACCCCTCTGCCTTCTGGTCCCCTTCGACCTCATCCCAGGTGTCGCTTCTGCTTTCTCCCTGGCCTCCTGTGTGCTGTGTCTATGGCTGGTGTGTAGCTGCCAGGGGCTTGCACCAAGGGGGCTTCCAGAGGTTGTCAGGGCCTTGTACCCCCCGGGGGACTCCCTCTGGTCAGACCCTTCCCTGCACTGAGTGTGCACCCACAAGGCCTGCACCCTCCTGGTCTGTTTCATCTTCCCCCAGGACCTTCTTCTGAAGTCCAGAAGGAGAAACCAAATTCACCCCTAGAAGCCAGTGAGCTGTGGACACACTCTTCCAAACACAAAGCCTGGAACCAGCCTTGAGAGATGCCAACCTGCAGACACCCTGGAAACACAGCCAGTGCCCAGAAGTTTCAGATTCCCATTGGCCCCACAGAAGCGCTGCATAAGGAGCACCCCCGGCCATGCCTCTGAGCAAGTGGGCAGCCAGCCGTTCTGCAAAGGGCCCCCGGGAACAGCCTCTCATGTCTTCTCTCTGGCCCTGTGAATTTGGTTTCTCCCAGCCCTGGGAGACTCCTCCCTTGAAATCTAATAGGGCCTGACTCAGGTCTCTCCCTCTCCACCCCTCTCTTCTCGCTCCTGCTGCCACTCCTGCTAAGATGGTTGCCATGAGCTTTACTCTGAACTCATCAATAAAATAAATATTTCAATTCCAGCTTTCAGGAGAGAGTGTGGATTTGGGCAGCAGATTCAAGACCGTCAAATAAAAAAAAAAAAAACATAAGGTTTTGGCACCTACTCAAGAGTGAGAAGCAGAACCCAGTGCTGAGACTGGGGTCTGACACGAAGGACGTGATCAAACAGCCAGGGCCTGGCGTGGAGCCGAGGCCGGGGCAGCAGGAGCCTGAGCTGGGTTTCAGCATCTTCTCAGTCCAGCAGAAAGTGAAGCCCATTTGGTAGGGACTTCGCTCAATTCTAGAAAGCATAGCTAACAGCAGGAACCCCAGATGGTTGCCCCAAAGTATGGGGTGCCCCAGCTCCTGTCAGGGTCAGCATGGCTGCAGCTGCTTCCCCTGAGGTCACTAAGACCAAATGTGAGGGAGGTACAGGGGTCCACTCCATCCGTGAACTAACATTCAGCAGAACCTCATGGAAGGAGGCAAGTGCTTGAGCCAAGGGGCTGCTGAGGATAAGTTGAGGCCCTCCTGGTTACACGGCCCAGGGATATACTCCAGGGAAGAGAGTGCGGTCGTGCCAGTATAGGTATCTCATGGAAATCCAAGCCAAGGAGATGAGCTGCCTCCAGGCTTCTTTAGAATTGGAAGTGGAAAGTGATTCTGATTTACAGTGTCTCTGTTTAAGCCTCCTATCTCTGCCCCCAGCTTCCCCTGCATCCCCAGGGCTCAGCCTGAACATGGCCATCATAATCTCTGCCTAACTCTAGGTGACCTTTCAGCTATAGCTCCATCATCACTACATGGCTCAGTTTCCAATTCCAAATTCCCAAGGCAGAATCTGATTGGGCCAACTCACCTGAGTGGGCAGCCCTGGCGTCAGGGACCACTCCCAGGTCTACTCAGCTGTGGCTAAGAGGTGGGGTCACCTCTCTCCCGACATGGCTGCTGAGGCAATAGGGACTGTGGGCAGCAAGTCGTGATCAATGGGAGGCGGTGGGGGACAGACAAAGAGAGATAGGATCTGCTGGACTTTCTGATCTCATTGGCGACAAAGCCACAAGGACCTCCTGATAACTGGCTTCCAGACAGCACCAAGCTCAGAAGTTCTCTGTGTTTTCTTACATAACTCCTAACTTGGCTCTGGAGACAATTCCAAAATGAAGGTGAAAGGAAGGAGCTCATATTGGCTACCACCTGCAGTGGGCTAGACCTGGGCTGGACCCTGGTGTCTGCCCTCTCAGACTGCAAGGACTGGGATTGGTGCATGGCCCCCAAGGAGCCTCACTAACAGCTGACACTTAGATAGCATTAACTACATGCCAGGTACGGTTCTAAGCACTAAACTCATCTGCCCCCCTCAACAACTCTACAAGGCAGGTACTACTATCATCACCAACCCCATTTTATCAAGAGAAGATTGAGGTACAAAGAGTTTAAGTGACTTTCACTAGGTCACATGTGAGAAGGTAGCAGAGCTGGCATTTGAAGCCCAGCCACCCTGGCTCCTGAGACCACACCTTTCCCTACTATGTGCTGTCGAGAGAGGGCCGGGCAGCCCTCATCAGAATGTCTCAGGTTCCAGACCTTTGGCAGAACAATTCTCCCCCCAACTGAAGAACAGCCGATGTTCTGCTGTTCAGGGTTGGTTACCTCCTCTTGCTGCTGAGGCCTCCTGCTTGTTGACCCTGGAATCTCACCATTTGAAGTTTATCTCCAGCTATTCTTAGTTCTTGGCACCTCAGAGTAAACGAGTTTGTCAGGGCTTATCAGCACTTGATGAGTGAGACAATAAAGAGGGCTTGAGCCCCTGCTTAGACGAGGGGGGCGGGGCAGGTGTGCCACTGGGCAGAGCTGGAAAAAATAGGGGAAGAGGAAATAGGGGAGGTTGGGGACATGGTGACAGAAGTCCTGAGCCATGAGGTCGCCTAGGGCTGGCAGGATCCGTGGGCTGCAATGGGCTTCAGCTTCCTCTTTATGAGGCCTGACTCCCTTTTCACTATCATCAAGGAAATCAGTTCTCATGCATTTGAAAGCTGTCACACGTTGAACCCAAAGGAGACAGCTCTCCCTAGATGACCTTTGCAATAACCAGGTAAGAAGTGGCACAGCCCAGATAATGTGTATAGAGGTGGGGCCTGAAGCAGCTCCTGACCTTCTGGGGAGCCATGAGGGGCACTGGGCCAGACCTGGGAAGCCACTGAGTGCCAAGACTGAGTATTCAGGACAAAAGCCCATCCAGGCAAAGCACCACCAGGGCACCACCCGTTGGCTCCCACGCGCATGGCAGGCATCACTACTTTAATCCAGGGAGCTCTCTCTAACCTGCTAAACAGGGTGCCATGAACAAGTGATCAGATCGGGCCCACAAGATGAACCCAACTTGCCACCTTTGAATTGGAGTCCCATCCTTGGGCATTCAGGAAAATTGAGACCAAGTGGGGGACACAGGACAACTCCCAGGGCTAAGACCAGAGTCCCAACATTGTTCCCCAAATATCCTGAGCAGTGAGAACTAAAATCTGCCCTGGGCCATGCTGCTTAGTCTCTGTCTCCCCTTCTCCGACTATACAAGGGATATATATAGTACCTATTTCACAGAATGACGAGTGTCTAAAGGTATACAAGTACTTAGAAACAGTTTTTGGATCTCAAGTGAATGCTGACTTTTTAAAAAATCTGGGATAAGTGCTGTAGAAAGAGCAGATTGAAGCCCACTGCGCTCCTCAGGATGGAGCTTCCCAAAGAGGGGTAAGGGGGCTGTTCCTTTCCCAGCCTCTGTGTCCCCCTCCACATGCTGAGTGCAGAAAGTCCTCCACCCACCTTCCCTTTTTGGGGAGCGCTTGTTCCCCCACAGGCCACCGGCTGAGTGCTTGTGGGCACACACATATGCAGGGTGAGTCCTAACATTCATCTGTGTTAATTTTATTCTGAAGTGCATGCAAAGTATTCTACCCTACTGGGGTGACGCAATGAAAACCATATGGAAAAATCTCCTGTGAGTGGTGAGATGCTCCACAGGGAAGGGGTGGAAAACAAGGGATTTTTTCCATTTGAATACAAGGGAGAGACAGTTGTCCCTCTCTCCTCCAGAAAGGGTAGAAAGAAAAAAAAACACCTTGGCTTCATTGAGAGATGGAAAAGACTGCAGATTCTCACCCTGAACATTTGGAATGTGTACACCTAGGGAGACAGTGCTCTGGGCTTTAGGGCACCTCAGGGACTTAATCCAGGAACTTGACCCTGACTTTAACACTTCGGTCTTCTTGGGCAGATGAGAGAAGTTGCATTATCCTTTTGAAAAATTGTGGTAAAATACACATAACATAAAATTTACCACCTTAATCTTTCTAAGTGCATGGTTCAGTACGGTCACATTGTTGTGAAACCATCACCACCTACCTGTGCAGAACTCTGCCTCATGCAGAGCCCAGGCGGTGCCCACAAAATGCT